AAATACAAAGAAATTAGCTGGGCATGGTGGTGCGTGCCTGTAATCCCAGCTACTCAGGAGGCTGAGGCAGGAGAATTGCCTGAACCCAGGAGGCGGAGGTTGCAGTGAGCCGAGATCGCGCCATTGCACTCCAGCCTGAGTAACAAGAGCGAAACTCCGTCTCAAAAAAAAAAAAAAAAAAAATTAACAGGGCGTGGTAGCGCGCACCTGTAATCCCAGCTACTTGGGAGGCTGAGGCAGGAGAATCGCTTGAACCCGGGAGGCGGAGGTTGCAGTGGGCCGGGATCACGCCATCACACTTCAGCCCGAGCGACAGAGCGAGACTCCGTCTGATAAATAAGTAAAAGAGAGACTCAAGGTATTCTTTGTCTCCCTTGGAGACTCTACGACCCCCTCATGCCAATCAACAAACATTTGGATACCTACTACATACGGGGATACAACTAAGAACGCTTCACATAGAGCCTCCCCACAACAAAACTTAACCTAAAAGGGTTTGGGAGCCATGTCCTATTCTAGATTCATTCCGAATTGGATCCTGCATACAACGCTAGGTCATGTGTTCACTAAGCAGCCCTGTGCCAGGCTCAAAAACACGGCCCAGGCGCAGTCACTCAGCTCAGCACCCTCCCAGACCTGCAGGCGCTGTCTGCACACGCCCGACCGAGTCCACGTGCAAATGCACACGTACGAGTATTTGCAGGCGCCCCCGGAAACACGCACACGTCCCGGGGGGGTGGGCACACTCCCATAGCCGCCTTCGGTCCAAGCCTCACCCGGCCTGGCTCCCCGTTCCCCCCTCGCCCGCCCTGGTCCCGTCCGGAAGCACCCTCGCGGCCCCAGGCATCGCTCGCGGGACTCACTTTCAGGTGTCTCCACGCCATGCTTTTTCCGTCATTAAGCCCGCCCCTGTCTCCCTTCCATTGAAGGATATGGCGGCGGCCCCTCCTATTTCCAGCCAGAACACCAATCCCCGGGCAGTAGGGTTGAGCTTTTGAGCGGGCGCCACCGCCGCTGGGAAGGCCGGGTTCTGGTTGGGTGCGCTTGCGCAGTAGCGGCGGTCAAGCGTCTTATACCCGCCCTCCTGCTGGTGGTCCTGCGTGGTCGCCGGCGGTTGGCCGAGGATCGGCAGCGCGGGCTTCGTCGCTAGTCCCGTAGTCCCGCAGTCTCGAATCCGAGAGTCCGCGAGGAGTCGGGGTTCTGTTAGGAAGACAGGTGTTGAGGTCGTGCCACACACCGCTGTCTTTCTGCCGGGGTCGCGTTGCGAGTTTCGTGAGCCCCCTGCTGGTTATTTTAGTGTGGCCGTCAGAACACTGTGTTTCACACCAGAAGTATCTGTGCAGTTTTTATTACTTTAAAAAATAAATTGGCCGGGCATGGTGGCTCACGCCTGTAATCCAAACACTCTGGAGGCCAAGGCGGGAGGATCACCTGAGGTCGGGACTTCAAGACCAGCCTGACCAATGTGGTGAAACCCCGTCTTTATTTAAAAATAAATAAAATAATAAATTTTACTCCTGTGTTGATATAAAATGAATGTTAACATATAAATGTTTTTCTACGTAAAAGTTGATTTTTCTTCAGGTTTTTAAAGAAATTAAAACATTTTCTTGAGGCCGGGCACGGTGGCTCACGCTTGTAATCCCAGCACTTTGGGAGGTCCCGGCAGATGGATCACTTGGGGTCAAGAGTTCAAGACCAGCCTGGCTAAGATGGAGGAACCCCCCTCCCCCACGTCCCTCCTGAAAAAAAAAAAAAAAGAAAGAAAGATAAAATAACCGGATGTAGTAGCGGGCACGACTTGGGAGACTGAGGCAGGAGAATCGCTTGAACCCCTTAGGCAGAAGTTATAGTGAACCAAGACTGTGCTACTGCACTCCAGCCTGGGCAACAGAGCCAGACTCCATCTCAAAAAAAAAAAAAAAAAAAAAGGTACTTTACCCTTTCTGAAAAGGACTGAAATGAAATTACCTGACTTGACTTTCAGAGATTTCATCAACATCAGGTTTTATTTTAAAGTGCTTGAAACATATGTGTGGATGTGTGGTGTATTTATTTGTGTATGTATATGAAGATGTTTAGAAGTTGAGGCTCTGTGAACTTTGAAAACAAAAAAGCATCCTGTATCCAGATGAGTCCATTGCCACACTCTTGTAAGGATGGACTACTCTGCTCAGAAACCTTCCAAATAAACTGCAAACCTTTTATCCTGGCACTTGAAACACTCCCATTTTCTGGTTACGGTTCCCACTGCAGTCCCACCGAGTACCCCCTATGTGCGCACACACACAAGTATTTCTTTCTTTTTATCAGTACCTTCCACTTTCCCACCTCTGTGTATTTATTCACATCGACTTCTCTGCCAAGATGTCCGTTTCATCTGTCTAAATATTGCCAGCTTTATATGTTTGTTTCAAAGGCCGAAAGTAATTTCTTCCTTATCTGAACCTTCACAGCAGCACTTAAGCTGTCCCTGTAGGCTGGTACTTTTCATTGTCTTTGTTAGTTATAATTATTATGCCTTTTCTTCCCTTACTGGACTTTTTGAAAGTGGTGATTGTGCTGTATTTATCTTTCATTTGATTACTGCAGTGTTTTTGGTATTTTTGTTTGGGCGGGGGGCTTTTCGAGACAGAGTCTCACTCTGTTGCCCAGGCTAGAGTGCAGTGACACAATCTCAGCTCACTGCAACCTCCACCAACTGATTCAAGTGATCCTCCTGCCTCACCCTCCCAAGTAGCTGGGATTACAGGCACGCGCCACCGTGTCTGGCTGATTTTTGTATTTTTAGTAGAGACAGGGTTTCACCATGTTGGCCAGGCTAATCTTGAGCTCCTCAACTCAAGTGATCCACCCACCTCAGCTTCCCAAAGTGCTAGGAGTAGAGGCCTGAGCCACCACAACCACCTGATTACTGCAGTGTTTTTCAAACAGGGTGTATTCTTGGAGTCTGTGTTTTAGAGAATCCCATAATTTTGGTGGCCACTTCTGTACTGATTTTTAGAGTAATTTAAGCATCATTTGGACTATCTGAATAACCATCTTAACCCTGAAACCTGTCAGCTGGTCCAGTGCCCACATCTGTTTGCGTTTATCATCACTTTTTGGCACCAAGACAGAACCAGCTGTTAATACATGTGATGGGTACGCAACAGTTGGAGACCAAAGGACTTGCTGTGTTTGAACAAAGGTTTTTTTTTCTTTTAGTTAGTCAAATAAAGAAATGTGGTAACAGAATTGAATCTTCCCCATATCATAAAATAGTAGGCATGCCAGATTCAAAGGAACCCGTGCAGTCATAGGCCAGAGAACCCTGTTTATCTGCTATTTCGCTTGGCAAAATTTGGATCTCATTCGTTTTCAGTTTTGTTTGTATTTAATTTGTATTCATTTTTCCATTTAATAATGTTTGGTTTTTATGACTGTGTAAGAGTTTTAAGATAAAGTTAATGGACCTGGGATGGTGGCTCACACCTGGACTTTGGGAGACCAAGGTGAGAGGATCATTTGAGTCCAGGAGTTCAAGACTGCACTGAGCTGTGATCATGCTACTGCCCTCCAGCCTGGGCAGCATAGCGAGACCCCATGTCAAAAAACATAGAGTTTATGCTTAGTTCTGTTTGCATGTACTTAAAAGACAGAATACAGTAATTTAAATCAGTCCTGGGGGTAGCAGAGATGTAAGATGAACAAGTCGAGAGATTTAATGTACAACCTGAGGACTACAGGTAACAAAACTGGATAGTAGACAGGATTCATGCTAGATGAGATTTTAGCTACTTTTGCCACAAAACCAAAAAAAAAAAGTGGGTAACTAATGTTAGATGATGGGTATGTTTGTTTTACTATAATAGCCTTTTAAATATCTATATGCATCCCATAACATCATGCTATGTACCTTAAATATTCACAATAAAATTCCTTCTTTAAAAAATTAGGCCAGGTGCAGTGGCTCACACCTGTAATCCCAAAACTTTGGGAGGCCAAGGTGGGTGGATCACCGAAGGTTAAGAGTTTGAGAACAGTCTGGCAAACAGGGCAAAACTCCGTCTCTATTAAAAATACAAAATTAGCCAGGTGTGGTGGCACATGCCTGTAATTCAAGCTACTCGGGAGGCTGAGGCAGGAGAACCGCTTGAACCCAGGAGGTGGAGGTTGCAATGAGACGAGATCACACCATTGCACTCCAGCCTGGGCAGCAAGAGCAAAACTACATCTCAAAGAAAAAAAAAAAAAAATCAGTCCTAGGGATCTGCAAGAATGACTTTCTTTAAAAAAAAAAAAAAAACGTGGCTGAGTCTAGTGACTCACACCTGTAATCCCAGGACTTTGAGAGGCCAAGGCAAACAGATGGCTTGAGTGCAGCAATTTGAGACCACCCCAAGAAACACGGCAAGACTCTACCTACCTACCTACCTACACACACACACGCAAACACACACACACAAACACACACACACACACACACAAAATTAGCTGGGCATGGTGGTGCACTCCTGTAGTCCCATTTGCTTGGGAGGCTGAGCGGGGAGGATTGATCACTTGAGCCTCAGAGGTCAAGGCTGCAGTGAGCTGATATCATGCCACTGTACTCCAGCCTGGGCAACAGAATAAGACCCTGTCTCAAAAAAGGAAAAGCTACACTTATTAATTTTTAGCAACACTAACTTAGATGTTAGATATTCATCATCCTCTGCCCCACACAGCTTAGACTCAGCTTTATAATCCATCTGTATTTGCTATAGGCATATATGGTAGGTAGACACAGATGGTGGGGCCACAGATACAAAGGCTCATTGCTTTATTGATCTCTGCTATTTGTTTTCAGCTTGTAGGATAGGAACTGCACCTGGGTCCTCAAAATAAAACCTTTTGTATCCTTGGTAAATTGTTCCCAATTCATGAAAGAATAATACTAAGACAAGGCCACTAATATATATATTTAAAGGACCAGGCAGCTACTGAACCTACACACTTTTTCTTGCTACAATTCAGAGAAAATGTTCTTCAAAGGAAGAAGCTGGCTTTGGTTATATGTGAGAACAAGTATCATTCTAGGAAGTGAGCTAAACAGCCCAGAGCGAGGTGGGCAAAATAATTGTTATCAGCTTAACAGCTTTCACTGCAGCTTTGAGGAAGCAGAGCACTACTGCCATGCCCAGGGAGGATTCCTAGCTCATATTAGGAACCAGGAAGTTCCAGATCGCATCCGGGACTTTCTGGAAGAAGGAAAGAAGTGGTGGATTGGGCGAAATGTAATGCCACTGAAAAAACATCAAGACGAAAAATACCCAGGTAAGACTGCGGGCTTTAGTGCTGATGAAGGAAACTTCCTTATATTTTATTGCGGGGCAGAAAAAAAGGAAAATCTTAATCTTTCTGCTTTCGTATACAGAAAAACCAGTCACTTTACTTCATTGCCATCTTTCCTCTGAAATGTTTCCGTTTTCTGCTACAGCCTTTGATTCATCTGTGTAGCAAGGTGATGCGATCTTTCCTAGAACCCATCTAAAGTTAACTTACCTAACCTTTCACTAGAAGAATTGTGCTAGATTTGAAAGACAGCAACCTTTGACGGTCATTTTTTCCCCTAATAAACATCTCTTCATTATTCTGAGCTCCAAATTTCCTAACACAGAAACAAAGAGGAAATTATCTATTGTACTTCTTACAAAGTGTTTTCAAAGTTACGCACCATCATCTTGAAGTTTTAGAGACAAATCCAAGGCATTATTATATCATTCTCGTCATCTTCATTAATGCATAAGTAAAGCAATACTAAGCCTTGTGATAAGGAATACATATGAAAAAATAAACTATGATGTATGGGAGGAAATTCTAAATTGCTATCTATTGGAAGCCAGCCAAATTTGGCTTTCGTATTTACTTTTAAAAAATGTCTGGCAGCCGGCCGGGCGCGGTGGCTCACACCTGTAATCCCAGCACTTTGGGAGGCCGAGGCGGGTGGATCACGAGGTCAAGAGATCGAGACCATCCTGGTCAACATGGTGAAACCCCATCTCTACTAAAAATACAAAAAATCAGCTGGGCATAGTGGTGTGTGCCTGTAATTCCAGCTACTCAGGAGGCTGAGGCAGGAGAATTGCCTGAACCCAGGAGGCGGAGGTTGCGGTGAGCCGAGATGGTGCCATTGCACTCCAGCCTGGGTAACAAGAGCGAAACTCCGTCTCAAAAATAAATAAATAAATAAAAAATGTTTGGGCACAGTGGCTCATGCCTGTAATCCCAGCACTTTGGGAGGCAAAGGCGGGTGGATCAGCTGATTTCAGGAGTTCAAGACCAGCCTGGCCAATAATAAAACCCCATCTCTACTAAAAATACAAAAATTAGCCGGGCACGGTGGTGGGCACCTGTAATTCCAGCTACTTGGGAGGCTGAGGCAAAAGAATTGCTTGAACCCAGGAGGCGGAGGTTGTAGTGAGCTGAGATCATGCCACTGCACTCCAGCCTGGGCAACAGTGTGAGACTCTGTCTCAAAAACAATAATAAAAAGTAAATTAAAAGCCTGGCTTTCGAGTATGAGGCTCATCTGGGTCTGATCTCCCCTCAGCAGACACTGCTGCCTATGGGGACACAAAGCCCTCCAGCTGCACCTACCTGTCCAGAAACTTCAGTCAGATCTCATTCAAAGGGGACAAGTGCTCACTGGGACACTATTTCATTTGCCAGACTGGTAAGTGATAAAGCTACATACTGCCAAACACCCAAATTTTGAAAACTGACTAAATAAGGAGTGCATGTGAGAGTATTGGTTAAATAGTCTGTGAATGATAGACCATGGGATGATACAGGGCTTTTGATTTTCATGAAATGATTAGCATGAGAAACTGTTATCTGGAATGACTTCCTCTGGGAGTTGGAAGAGTTGTGCCTCTATGTTCCCTCATGTTTTGACTTGGGTCGAGTGTCAGAGAAACTGTATTGCTGACATCGTTTTCCACATGCACACTTGTAATTCAGTCAGCATTCAGGCTTCAGAGGGAAGGTTGGGAAAGAGGAGAAGAAGAGAATATGGCAGAGGAAGATGAGAAGACTAAGGGTGAGGGTGCTGTTATCCAAGGTTCACTTCCATAGAAGTAGATCAGGATTAAGCTATGTATGTATGCATTTGTGTGTGTGTAGTTGTTGTTGTTGTTGTTGTTGTTATTTATTTATTTATTTCCAAGCAGGAGTTTCGCTCTTGTTGCCCAGGATGGAGTGCAACAGTGTGATCTTGGCTCACTGCAACCTCTGCCTCCTGGATTCTAGTGATTCTCCTGCCTCGGCCTCCCAATTAGCTAGGATTACAGGCATCTGCCACCATGCCCAGCTAATTTTGTATTTTTAGTAGAGGTGGGGTTTCTCCATGTTAGTCAGGCTGGTCTCGAACTCCTAACCTCAAGTGATCTGCCTGCCTTGGCCTCCCAAAGTGCTGGGATTATAGGCGTGAGCCACTGCTCCTGGCTTATTTATTTGTTTATTTTTGTGGAGATGTGTTCTTGTTATGTTACCCAGGCTGATCTCGAACTCCCGGCTTCAAGCAATCCTCCCACCTCCCAAAGTGCTGGGATTACAGGAATGAGCCACCGTGCCTGGCCTTGGTGATTTCTTTAAAAAAAAAAAAAAAAAGGCTGGGCGCGGTGGCTCAAGCCTGTAATCCCAGCACTTTGGGAGGCCGAGGCGGGTGGATCACGAGGTTGAGAGATCGAGACCATCCTGGTCAACATGGTGAAACCCCGTCTCTACTAAAGGTGCAAAAAATTAGCTGGGCATGGTGGCGTGTGCCTGTAATCCCAGCTACTTAGGAGGCTGAGACAGGAGAATTGCCTGAGCCCAGGAGGTGGAGGTTGCGGTGAGCCGAGATCGCGCCATTGCACTCCAGCCTGGGTAACAAGAGCGAAACTCCGTCTCAAAAAAAAAAAAAAAAACTACTATACAACCCAGAAATTGCTTGGCATTTATTGCAGAAAGAGAAAACCTGTGGTCACGTAAAAATATGTATATGGATGCTTATAGCAGCTTTATTCACAATAGAGCAAAATTAGAAACAATTCAGACATCTGTCAGTAGGTGAATGGTTAAACCACTGTGGTCCAGCCATGACAGTCATACCGTTTCTACTCTCCCGGGTGACTTTCCCACTTCCCGCTCTCTACTCAATCTCCAGCACCTGAGGGCCCCCCTCCATCTCATTCTCAGGTCAGGTGATCACTTTGCTTTCTAACTTAAGGAGAAAATCAAAGCAATGTAGAGTCCTTCCACGACTCTGACCGTCAAACCTAGCCATCTACCATCACCTGTACCTGCAGAGACAATGCCTTCTCTCATGCTCTACACATTGTCATACTCCTACCCAAATTTAATCACTCTAGTTGTTAATAAAAAGAAACAAACTATTGATACAGCAATTTCGAGAGAACTCTGCTGAGCAAACAAAGCCAATCTCAAATGTGACATACTCTATGGTGCCATTTACTGAGCATCCTTGAAATGACAACGTGATAGGAATGGAGAACAGATTAGTGGTTGTCAGGGTCTAAGAAGGGCATGGGGGCAGGATGGAAGCAGGCATGGCTATAAAAGGGCGATGTGAGGGATTCTTGTAGCAATTGAAGAAAATTTTTGACATGACTGTATCAGTGTCAATATCCTGTTGTTGCTCTTGCAAGATGTGTTACCCTTGGAAACTGAATACAGGCATCTCTCTGCATTTTCTCTTTCATCTGCATGTGAATACATAATTATCTCAAAATAATAAGTTACATTTTAAAAAAAAGAAAAAGAAAATGTGGCCAGGCGCAGTGGCTCATGCCTGTAATCGCAGCACTTTGGGAGGCTCAGACAGGATCACAAGGTCAGGAAATCTAGACCATCTGGCTAACACGGTGAAACCCCATCTCTACTAAAAATACAAAAAATTAGCCAGGCATTGTGGCACGCACCTGTAGTCCCAGCTAATCTGGAGGGAGGCTGAGGCAGGAAAATCATTTGAACCTGGAAGGCAGAGGTTGCAGTTAGCCAAGATCACGCCACTGCACTCCAGCCTGGGCGACAGAGCGAGACTCGGACTCAAAAAGAAAGAAAAATGCCTTGATGTAAGTATACACATGACTTATACAGTATTCTTGCCAAAAAAAAAAAAAAAAAAATAGAATAACGCAAATTAAAAATAAACGGAAATATCCTTTTACACCTATAAGATTGGCATAAATTCACAAACTTAACAACATATGCTGTTGGCAAGGCTGTAAGAAAATATGTACTCTCGTAAGTCGCTAGTGAGAATGCAGGGAGATATAATCTCTATATATCTTGTAAATAAAGGGGAATTCAACAATATCTAGCAAAATAACATATACATCTACCCTTGACCCCGCCTCCACTGCTAGGACTCTATCCCAAAGTCAAAACAGCAAAAATATAAAAAGATGAACGCACAAGGCTATTCATGTTGCTCTCCGTAAGAGCAAAAAGTAGGAATAATCCCATCAAAAGGGAACTGGTTGTAAAAAGCAAATAGCAACAATCTCCATGTACTGCAATGGGGTTAGCTCTGTGATTTTTTTTAGTGGAAAATAAAGGTACAGAACATATATATATTTGCTTATATACATACACATATGCATAAATGTAATGGAGAAAAAAACTAATGAAAATGGTTATGTCTGGGGGAGAGAGAAAATGGGGCAGAAAGGATGAAGATGGAAATAAGACCTTTCGAAAAGTACCAGTTTGTTTTGGCATGGAAACTCTTTAAATGTTTTCCATAATTATTGCTATGGTTTGAACCTGACCCCTTCCAAAACAGGTGTCGCCAATGTGATCTTATTAAGAGGTGGGGCTTTAACAGGTGGGCTGGACCACAGGGCTCCTCCCCTGTGACGAGGACGCGGCGTCCTTATAAAAGGGTTCGGCAGAGGGAGATATGCTCTCGCCCTTTCTCCTTACGAGGGTGCGGGTCTCGTCCGACTCGAGATGGCAGTGCTTTGATCTTGGGCTTGCAGCCTCGGAACTGTAAGAATTAGATTTCTGTTCTTTATAGATTACCCTGTTAGTGGTATTCTGTTATAGCGCACAAAACAGTCTAAAGCAATTATAAAGTAAATTTATGTCAACATTTTTTTTGAGACAGTTTCACTCCTGTTGTTCAGGGTGGAATGCAATGGCGCCGACTCGGCTCACAGCAACTTCCGCCTCCCAGGTTCAAGTGATTCTCCTGCCTCAGCCTCACGAGTAGCTGGGATTACAGGCATTCGCCACTATGTCTGGCTAATTTTTATGTTTTCAGTAGAGACAGAGGTTTCACCATGTTGGCCAGGCTGGTCTTGAACTCCTGACCTCAGGCGATATACCCTCTTCAGCCTCCCAAAGTGTTGGGATTACTGGTGTGAGCCACCATGCCCAGCCTGTCAACATTTTTAAAAACAATCTGTAAAAGTAGGGAAATGGAGGAGAAGAATTGGAGCTGACAAGTTAGGACTATTTTTAAGGTAATTTTGCTCAAGAGCAGGAAACAACTGGGGCAGTAGTTCATGAGGGCAATATAAGTTGCTGGGGTTTTTTGAGACAGGAAAAATAGCATTTGGGGATGATGCACTGGATTTGAACTACTGAACAACTAGAGGGATTCACTTTGGGTAGGAGTATGACGATATGTAGAGCATGAGAGAAGGCATTGTCTCTCTGCAGATACAGGGGCTGGTAAGTGGCTAGGTTTGACGGTCGGAGTCATGAAAGGACTCTACATTGCTTTTTCTCCTTGAGTTAGAAAGCAAGGTGATCACCTGACCTGGAAATGAGACGCAGGGAGGCTCCCAGGTGTTGGTAGTTGAGTAGAGGGAAGTGGGGGTCACCTGGGAGAGTGGAAACAGTGAGGCTGCCAGGCAGCGTGAAGGCAGGCCACTCAAGCTTCATGACCACAAATTTAAGCTGAGCCACAGTCAAGTGGTTATATGATTTTTCTCTCGCCATGTCCAACAGCATGTGTGAAAAACTCCTTTTTCATGTGTACAAGGAGGCATGTCCAAGAATGTTATTGCTGGCTGGGTGCGGTGGCTCACACCTGTAATCCCAACACTTTGGGAGGCCAAGGCAGGCAGATCACTTGAGTTCGGGGGGTCAAGACCAGCCTGGACATGGTGAAATCTTATCTCTACTAAAAATATAAAACTTACCTGGGTGTGGTGGCATGCACCTATAATCCCAGCTACTCAGGAGGCTGAGGCAGAAGAATTGCTTGAACCCAGGAGATTCAAGCAATAAGGTTGCATTGCTTGCAGTGAACCAAGTTCACACCATTCCACGCCAGCTTAGGCAACAGAGCAAAAACTACCTCTAGAAAAAATAATGTTATCACCCACCTTCGGAAGTCTTTTATCTCTACCAATGAGAGTTATAGAACACAGAGGAGAATATTACACTTAGTAGAATATTTCCCATTTATGCTGGAGGTTGCAAACATTTTTAATGAAGTCAGACCCTGACGATGACCTTAAGCAGCAGGATATAATTCCAAGCTTAGCGTTCCAATAATGGAACACTAGGCATATAGGGTTGATAAACTTCTCAGTGTTGATCCAATTAGTGTACTTAATTTGAAATGTAGAACACCATAATTTGATGTGACCAGGCTGCAGAGCAAAAGGGCTACTGCAGAATTCTTATTGTCTTTTAAAAAAACTGGATAGCCGGGCGCGGCGGCTCACGCCTATAATCCCAGCACTTTGGGAGGCCAAGGCGGGTGGATCACGAGGTCAAGAGATCGAGACCATTCTGGTCAACATGGTGAAACCCCGTCTCTACTAAAAATACAAAAATTAGCTGGGCATGGTGGCGCACGCCTGTAGTCCCGGCTACTCGGGAGGCTGAGGCAGGAGAATTGCTTGAACCCAGGAGGAGGAGGTTGCAGTCAGCCGAGATCGCGCCATTGCACTCCAGCCTGGGTAACAAGAGCAAAACTCCGTCTCAAAAAACAAACAAACAAACAAAAAAAAAACTGGATAGTAATTTTTAATTTGTGTTTTCCTGATTATCACATATGCGCATGTAATGATGATTTTATAGACTTGTAGCTATAGCTATAACCTATAAATTAATCGTGTACTGCCCTCCAAGTAGATGCCTTTTTGGATGGAGATGCCCGTTATGAAAGAAATGGAAATAATTCTCATTTGCCGTGGAGACCCAAGAAGACAAAAAGAGAAGTTGAAATACCAAGAAACAAAATGCCCCCAGGTAATATGTTACTACCTCAAGTAACCTTAAAAATCAGTGAAATCAATTGCTGTTCAAAGGCTGCACAAGACTGAATTAATGCTGAAATGTGGTATACATGCCCAATATTCATTGTGTTCTATTCTGTCTGATCTTAATAGGACAGTGTTTGCCTTAGTTTTATATTTGTGTTTGCTTGCCATCTTCTTTTCAGATATTCCCAAGTACAAGGCAAGGTTTTATTCCCACAGAATTTTTCATCAACAAAGAGAAAGTTGTCTTAAAGTTCTTACAAAGTCTTTGAAATCATGGTGTTATCTCTTGTTTATTTTTTAATTTTGAAAAACAAGTACTGTTTGGGAAGGATGCATTAGCCTGAAATGACGTCAGTGTTGGTGGATGTGGTTATAGAGGTCAGCTGAAAGAAAGGAGCACAGCAGAGATCAATTTAAAGTAGATCTTGTGATTACTCGTCAGGGTATGACCTCACTGCTGCAAGTGTTAGGTGTCCTAATCAACAAACCATTTAAATATCCCTTGAAAAAAAACAATTTAAGGCCGGGCGCGGTGGCTCAAGCCTGTAATCCCAGCACTTTGGGAGGCCGAGGCGGGTGGATCACGAGGTCAAGAGATCGAGACCATCCTAGTCAACATGGTGAAACCCCGTCTCTACTAAAAATACAAAAATGAGCTGGGCATGGTGGCGCGTGCCTGTAGTCCCAGCTACTAGGGAGGCTGAGGCAGGAGAATTGCTTGAACCCAGGAGGCAGAGGTTGCGGTGAGCCGAGATCGCACCATTGCACTCCAGCTTGGGTAACAAGAGCGAAACCCCGTCTCAAAAAAAAAAAAAAAAAAAAAAAATTTAGTATTATTTAGAGACATGAATATGTATTTAAAGAACAAATGGGAAAACCAGCTTTTCTCAAGGCTTTGTAAATGGGGACTTGTGAGTTGTAGGAACATGTTTAGTGATCGCATTAGGTGGAAGTAAAGACATATTTTGGAGAACTGCTAAATCCAGAAGTTCTGATGATAAAGCCGTGATGTTAAAGATGCATTTGAAGTGTTTGAATTAAACTGTCATGAAATGGGAGTTTCATGAGCGTAATGCTTCTAATATTACTTCACATGACATGTGACTTTAAATATGTAGTAGTAGAACTAAATTACTGAATTAAATAGACATTTGACTGTTTCACCTATATCCTTTAAGTTTATATTGTCAAGCTTGCCCCAGAAATACTTTATAAAAACTCCTCATTGGGAAAAATGTAGATCACGTTATTGTGAGGCAATTTACCTAACAGGGAATATGCCTAGTATTTATGTATGAGGGTCCTTTAAAATGCTTGCAGGCTGGATCTCCCCTCAGCAGACTTTGGCTCACACCTGTAATCCCAGGTGTGACTTGGGTGTAATATAGTGACTCACCTATAATCCCAGCACTTTGGGAGGCTGAGATGGAAGGATTGCTTGAGGCCAGGAGTACAAGTCCAACCTGGGCAACCTACTGGGACTCTGTACAGAAACTTTAAAAATTTAAAAAATTAGGTAGGTGTGGTGGTGCATACCTTTGTAGTCTCAGCTACTCAGGAAGCTGAGGCAGGATAATAGTTTAAACCCAGGAGTTACAGGGTGTAATAAACCATGATCAAGCTACTGTATTCCAGACAGCCTTTTTTTCCTTTATCAGACTGCTTGTAAAATTTTTTTGTAATTCAGAAATATTCTTAGTGTGTATCTAGGTTATTTTTCACTAATTGTGCCTAGAACATGATGCTACATATACACATCTTTCTTGAATCAAAAATATCCTATGTTTGTATCACTTCTATTTCATTTATTCTGGTTTTGTCCTTAAGAAATACCAGGTATCTATGTGCTATATTGTTGCTTCCTATCTTCTGCCTTTCCTGCACTCCCTTAAAATAATGGTTTTGTATTTATCACCCTTTCTGTTAGAGGAGAGCACCTTACATTTATCTTCCATATCAGGGACTAATTTTTCCACATTGCTCAGTATTCCCTACCATGTGTATTTTAATTTTTCTGCAGTATTTTTTTCATCATCTGGAAATCCTCTTATAGAATTTTTCTTTTTCTTTTTTCTTTTTTTTTTTTTTTTTTGACAGAGTCTCAGTCTTTCTCCCAAGCTGGAGTGCAGTGGTGCGATCTTGGCTCACTGCAACCTGTGCCTCCCAGGTTCAAGCGATTCTGCTGTCTTGGCCTCCCAAGTAGCTAGGATTGAAGGCACCTGCCACCATGACGGGCTAATTTTTGTATTTTTAGTAGAGATGGAGTTTCACCATCTTGGCCAGGCTGGTCTTGAACTCCTGACCTCGTGATCCACCTGCCTTGGCCTCCCATAGTGCTAGGATTATAGACATGAGCCACCGTGCCTGGCCTATTTGTGTGTCTGTGTGTGTGTGTCTGTGTGTGTGTGTGAGAGAGAGAGATCTCACTCTGTCTCCCAAGCAACAGAATTATAAGCACCTAGCAACCACGCCCAGCTAATTTTGTATTTTTAGTACAGACGGGGTTTTACCATGTTGGCCAGACTGGTCTCAAACTCCTGACCTCAAGTGATCCTCCCGCCTTGACCTCCCAAGGTGCTGACATTACAGGCATGAGCCACTGCGTCCAGACTTCCTTCTCCTTTAAGGCGAGATCTATCTACACAAAATATGTGTCAGTTAACCAAGAAATTGAATGGCCATAATGCAGCAGCCTGTCAGCTCATCCAGTGGCCGTAACCCCTCCCAGATCTACAACTGATGTGCAGGGTCCTTCCCCGTTCCCAGCACACCACCTACCTCATGACCCTACTCTGAGGCGATGATTTCTCTCATTTCTGCAGCCTGGTTTTCTGGTGCTCTGAACCAGCGCATGTGAAGAACTTCAGCACCCCGCGTTTGCATTACTGTTCTTTCTGTCTCCCCATGACTCCTCTCAATCCCATTCCCTGGTGCTGTCTTTGGGGGCAATGCTGGCAGGGTCTACACATCACAGAACCCACCATGCCCACCCTGGTTCCTTCCTCCTTGCCTGCCTCATTGAGGTCTATCATGACCTGGGGCTTCCCAGATTGAGGAAAATGGCATGAGCTGGAAAAGCCGCTGAGAACCACGACAGTGGCACTGTGCTCATCTCAAAGGGTAAGTGTAGGGCAGAAGGGAAGGTACTGACCATGTTTGTTTCTCTTTTTCTTTTTTTTTTTTTTGAAACAGGATCTTCCTCTGTCACCCGGGCTGGAGTATAGTGGCATGCTCCTGTCTCATTTCACCCTTGACCTCCTGGGATCAAGTGATCTTCCTGCCTCAGCCTCCTGAGTAGCTGGGACTACAGGCATGTACCACCATGCCTGGCTAATTTTTATATTTTTGGTAGAGAGAGGGTTTCATGATGTTGCCCAGGCTGGTCTCGAACTCCTGGGCTCCAGGGATCTGCCTGCCTGGGCCTCCCAGAGTGCTGGGATTACAGGCATGAGCCCCCACGCCTGGCCTTTCACTTTTCTAACCAGCAAAGGCCTTGGGTGTCTCAGTCAAGGTACAGTGTAAAGGGGATGCAAAGTTCCTTACCCCCCAAAATGGTCAGGCTATCTTTGACAAAATGAAACTGACATACTCCTTGAGGACAGTGATCTCTATAGAGGCTTACAGCCCATTTCATCTGCATTTTAATTTGTATCCATTCTTCCTATTAAAGGAAAAAATTATTCTGATACTTATTAAAACAGTAAGGAAGACCTGTTTCAGGACTGTCACAATAGTGGAGAAGGATCAAACTCAACTCCATAGAGAACAAGTGGGGATTTATAGCCAAGGAGAAGGAGTAGGAGTTGGGAGTAGATGGAAAATTACTAAGAGGAGACATCAAGCATAGAGAATTCTTGCTGAGGGCAGGCCAGGGTGATCAGATAGCAAGGGCAAAAGAAGGGATTCTTTCTAAATTGACTTAGCAGGATTCTTGTTAAAACTAGGCTAGGCATGGTGGCTCATACCTGTAATCCCAGCACTTTGGGAAGCCAAGGCAAGCAGATCATGAGGTCAGGAGTTCAAGACCAGCCTGGCCAACATGGGGAAACCCTGTCTCTACTGAAAAATAAAATAATCAGCTAGGCATGGTAACACGTGCCTGTGATCTAATCCACTCAGGAGACTGAGGCAGGAGAATTGCCTGAACCTGGGAGGCAGAGGTTGCAGTGAGCTAAGATTGTGCCACTGCACACCAGCCTGGGTGGCAGAGGAAGACTCCATTTGGAAAAAAAAAAAATAGATTATGCAGATCTGGCAAGGATGGGGCCTAGTTGGGAAGTAGGTTTAGAGGAACTTAGCTAAAGTTTGCTTAGAGTCTATAATCACTTTGGGAGTCTGAGGTAGGCAGATCACTTGAGGTCAGGACTTCTAGACCAGCCTGGACAACATGGTGAAACCCCATCTCTGCTAAAAATACAAAAAAATGGCCAGGCACAGTGGCTCATGGCTGTAATCCCAACACTTCGGGAGGCCGGGGCGGGTTAATGACAAGGTCAAGAGACCAACACCATCCTGACCAACATGATGAAACCCCATCTCTACTTAAAATACAAACATTAGCTGGATGTGTGGCACACGCCTGTAGTTCCAGCTACTCGGGAGGCAGAAGCAGGAGAATTGCTTGAACCCAGGAGGCAGAAGTTGCAGTGAGCCAAGATCATGCCACTGCACTCCAGCCTGGTGACGGAGCAAGACTCCATCTCAAAAAAAAAAAAAGCAAACACACACACACACACACACACACACACACACACACACAAGCTGGGCATGGTAGCACACACCTGTAATCCCAGATACTTGGGAGGCTGAGGCAGGAGAATCGCTTGAACTCGGGGGGTGGAGGTTGCAGTGAGCCGAGATCGTGCCACTATACTCCAGCCTGGCGACAGAGACTCTGTCTCAAAAAAAAAAAAAAAAAAGTTGGGCATGGTGGTGCATGCCTGTAATCCCAGCTACTCGGAAGGCTGAGGCAGAACAATCACTTGAATCCGGGAGGTGAAGTTTGCAGTGAGCCAAGATTGCACCATTGCATTCCAGCCTGGGTGACAGAGTTAAGACTCTGTCAAATAAATGAATGAATGATTGAATGTATTACTCCCAAGTTCTAGAATTCGCCGATTAGTCATGTTTATAGTAAAGTGACTTTTCATTTTTATAAATATTTTAGAAAAAAGCAGGGAGATGGTTTACAGAAGCTGTTGTCATAAGTTATTTGGAGCTAACAGTTACAATTGGAAATCCTGCTCTCAGTGCATTGCTTTAAAGTTCACATTTTTAGGTATCATTACAGCCATTTGCCAGACAAGAAAACTAAAGGGTCATGTTCTCAAGGCTTCGTAGTTGCAGTAAAAGGCCAAAGTGGCTCTGAAACCCAGGTCTTTGGACACAGAATGCATTTTTTCTTCTACCCTCTGTCATCTTTGCCTTGATGGAAAGACATGACATCTGATCGGAAGAGCATCTCAGAATTCTGCCCTCCTCCAGCAGGAGTAACTGCATGTATCAGCCCTGTGAACACCAGAGGAAATGTTCCAAGAGGGCAGAGAAGGCTTGCCACAGCCAGGTACTTGTTAGTAGGTCTAGAAGCTCGTGTTTTGAAAGAGGTCAGCCTAAGCTAATAGTAAGTAGACATATTAATGCACTGATAGTATCTTCAGGTCATAGTTTCCTACTGGAAAATGGGGTTGAGGGGAAGCAGTAACGGCCATCTGGCATAATTTTATAAATGATCATTTTCCAATGATTGTTTGGGGGGCTGGGGGTGGGGGAGAGAAGACAGTTCTTACTTTCTTGCCCAGACTGGAGTGCATGGTTTCATCTCAGTTCACTGTAACCTCTGCCCCCCAGGTTGAAGCAATTCTCCTGCCTCAGCCTCCCGAGTAGCTGGGATTATAGGCATACACCACCATGCCTGGCTAATTATTGTGTTTTTAGTAGAGATGGGGGTTTCACCACGTTGGCCAAGCTGGTCTCAAACTCCTGACCTCAAGTGATCCACCTGGCTGGGCCTCCCAGAGTACTGGGATTACAGATAGGAGCCACCGTGCCTAGCTCCAAATTATTTCAATTAGTTAATAAGCTCCTCTTTCTGGTAAAATGATGAAGCAAATATTTCTATAGTAATATTTATATACTGGGTACTTTATGATTAATGTGATTTTTTTGTGTTTTTTTTTTTTTTTTTGAGACAGAGTCTGGCTCTGTTATTCAGGCCGGAATGCAGTGGTATGATCATTGGCTCCCTGCAACCTCTGCCTCCCAGGTTCAAGCAATTCTCCTTCCTCAGCCTCCCAAGTAGCTGGGTTACAGGCATGTGCCACCACACCCAGCTAATTTTTGTATTTTTAGTGGAGACAGGGTTTCGCCATGTTGGCCAGGTTGCTCTTGAACTCCTGACCTCAGGTGATCCACCTCCCTCAGTCTCCCAAAGTGCTAGGATTATAGGCGTGAGCCAGTGTACCCAGCCTAATTTGATTTAAAATTTATTTTTTGTACAGAGTGTTTCAACGGCAAACAAAGAAATTAGACATTTAGAGCAGAATTCCAGTTTGTCTACAGACTTACCTATAATGGCAAATCATCACTTGGTTTTCCTTTTTTTTTTTTTTTTTTTTTTTTGAGATGGAGTCTCACTGTGTCTCCCAGGTGGAGTGCAAGGACGAAATCTCAGCTCTGCAACCTCTGCCTCCTGGGTTCCAGTGATTCTCCTGCCTCAGTGTCTCAAGTATTGGTTTCTTTTTTCTATAGGAGCTGCTCATCTTTCAACCACATGTCACCATCCTCCTCATGCTCATCTTGTAAGTACTCCCCTTGACATCTTGGAACGTTTATCCCTTTGTCATACCTAGTAGATCCGGTCAGAGCTCTGTCTTACAGTGTTCTGAATACAGTTTTCTAATAAGGAAAAGAAAGTATTTACATGCAGGAGAAAATGGTCTTTAATAGGTGCTTCGTTAAAGGAATTTTTTTTTTTTTTTTTTTTTTTGAGACAGCGTCTCGCTCTGTCACCCAGGCTGGACTGTGGTCCCTCAGTCTTGGCTCACTGCAACCTCTGCCTCCCGGGTTCAAGCAATTCTCCTGCTTCAGCCTCCCAAGTAGTTGGGATTACAGGCCTGCACCACCACACCTGGCTAATTTTTGTATTTTTAATAGAGATAGGGTTTCACTATGTTGGCCAGGCTGGTCTCTAACTCTTGACCTCAGGCAATCCTCCTGCCTCAGGCTCCCAAAGTGCTGGGATTACAGGTGTGAGCCAGCATGCCCAGACTTGTTACAAGAATTTTTAAAGCCTATCTTTCTGACTTTCTTGCTGATGTAATTATCATTTATTTGTTGGTTGCGTGTGTTCCCTTCTTCATTGCAAAAGGGACTTGTGGCATCTTACAAAAATACAATGCAATAAAACGTAAACCTCAAATAGAAAGGAAAAGGAAAATAAAAGTAGAAACTGTCCACATAGTCTGTAAAATGTCACCTTCAAAAAAATCTGTCAGCATTCTTGTCTTTGTGTCCTATGTAGAAACCCTTTAGTTGATGCCTAAACACGGATGTGTATTTCTTGGACTCGATGCTCCGTGCAAAAATAAATGTTTCTAACAGTATAAAAGAATGGGGGGCTGGGATTGGTGGCGGGCGCCTGAATCTCAGCTACCCAGGGGGCTGAGACAGGAGAATTGCTTGACCCTGGGAGGTGGAGGTTGCAGTGAGCCCAGACCACACCATTGCACTCCAGCCTGGGTGACAGAGGGAGACCCATCTCAAAAAACAAAATGAATGAAACAATGAACTTTCATACTTGCCTCATGCTGATCTGCTTCTACTCTTGCCGCTTTTCCTCTCTTCTCAACGGAGTGGTTGATTGTTTAAAACACAGAGTGATGCTTTAAAACAGAAGTCAGCTCATGCCACTGTTCTGCAAAGCCCTTTAATTTATCCAAAATAATATCTGCATTCCTTTCAACTGCCTGACAGATGACACTCTGCCAGCCCTGGGATCTTATTGATCCCCCTCCTGCCACCAGTGCTCCTCTAGCTTCCTTGGCCTCCCAGACAGAGCCAGCTGGCTGTGAGCTTGGGGGCCTTTGCACTCCTGACATGCCTTCGCTAACACATGGGCAGAGTGTGCTCTCTCTCCCTTTATTCAACTCTCAGCAAAAATGTCCTTTTCATCGGTCATAGTGCTTCATGCCTCATGCCTTGTGCCTCGTGCCTGTAATCCCGGCACTCTGGGACACCAAGGCAGGAGGATCACTTAAGCTAGGAGTTCTAGATCAGCTTGGGCAACATAGCAAAATCCTGTCTCTATAAAAAAGTGAAAAAAGGCTGGGTGCAGTGACTCATACCTGTAATCCCACCATTTTGGGAGGCTGAGGTGGCAGATCACTTGAGGTCAGGAGTTTGAGACCAGAATGGGGCAACGTGGTGAAGTCCCATCTCTACTAAAAAATACAAAAATGAGCTGGGTGTAGTGGTGTGCTCCTGTAGTCCCAGCTACTCAGGAGGCTGAGCCAGGAGAATTGCTTGAACCCAGGAGGAGGATACAGTGAGCCAAGGTGGCACCACTGCACTGGAGCCAGGGTGACAGAGTGAGACTCCATCTCAAAAAAAAGAAAAAGCAGCCAGGCATGGTGGTATGCGCCTGTAGTCCCAGCTACTTGGGAGGCTGAAGCAGGAGGATCACTTGAACCCAGGAGGTCAAGGCTGCAGGGAGCTATGATTATGCCACTGTACTGCAGCCCAGGTGACAGAGTGACTCCTCATCTCAAAAAATCCTCCCCTTACCACTGAATACCATCCATGATAGGCACTTTCTATCTGCTTAGCCTCATTTTTTCTTCATAGCACTTATTTAATGCATGACATAATTTATCCACCTCCACCAACACAGAGGCTCGACAAGGCCCGGAACTTGGCTTCTTTTGCTCCTTGCTGTATTCGGTTCTCCAGAGCATTCTTAGCACCTTATAGATGTTTAACAATTTATTGAATCACGGATATCAATACACTAATGTAAATCCTGAATCTCAGTAATATAATATGCAGCTTTCATGAAGCTGTTTGAGCACAGAATTTTTGAACAGAAATGCCTGTTATCTCATAGGACATGAGAGTTTCAGAGCAATTTTGGAAACACTGCCTTAATTATTCCTTAAATGGTAAAATGAGATTGTGCCTTTTCCTTTACGTATTTTTATCTTTTAGTCCAAGACGCTGTGTCATCCCATCAGCCCATTCTCTTCAGTACTACCAAAAATCACAGCACAGGCCACGCCAGTCACATCTGAACCCAGCAGCCAGCCTCTCCCTGCGAGAACAGAGCCCACCAGTCCTGCGTCCGTCACATATGCTGGTCAGTCTCGGACAGAAACGGCTTCAAGCTCAGAGGAAGACGCTCATCCAAATAGCTTCACCTCTCATCACCCAGCATCACTGCAGAATGCATCTGGTCAGGTAAACATGGGAAATGCAAGTACAACTAGGTAGCTCTGTGACCGTGAAAAAGCAGTTGGTTTCCCATCTTCCTCCCTGCAGAACTGCTCCTAAGAGAGCCCGACAGACCAGCATGTACGCCAGTCCAAAGCCAAAACTAAACAAGGCCGTGGAAACAGCCTACAATTTCGTGGCACACGTACAGCCCAGCATTTCATTAAATACTGAAATATTCTCATTTCACTGTTTAATATTATTTAATGCTATTGTATTTAATGCTTCAGATGGACAAGAAGTTTTGTTCACCTGCCCTGCTTTTTCAGCCGCAGCAAACTTCTAGAGAATTCCTCCTACTCACCATCCTCACTCTCTCTTCACCTTGTTTCCTTCCTCCCAAAAACACGGACAACAAGGTAGCCCGACGCAGTGAGTCACACCTGTCGTCCCAGCATTTGGGAGGCCAAGGTGCAGGGATCACTTGAGCCCAGGAGTTTTGAGACCAGCCTGGGCAACATAGCGAGACCTTGTCTCTACTAAAGTTAAAAAAAATTAGCTGGGCACAGTGGCTTATGCCTATAATTCCGCACTTTGGGAGGTCGAGGTAGAGGATCACTTGAGCCCAGAAGTTTGAGACCAGTCTGGGCAATGTAGTAAGACCTTATCTCTACTAAAATTCAAAAAAAAATTATCCAGGCGTGGTGGCATGCACCTGTAGTCCCAGCTACTTGGGAGGTGGAGGTGGGAGGGTCACTTGAGCCTGGGAGATCCAGGCTGCAGCAAGCTGTGATTGTACCACTGTACTCTAGGCTGGGCGTCGAAGCAAAACTGTCTCAAAAAAAAAAAAAAAAAATCCCCTTTGACAGTATTGACTGAAGGAAAGAATCCTGCTTCACCTACCCTTTTTTCCTCCGCAAACTCGAAAGAGCCCTGTTTACATGCAGGCAAACATTTCCCTGCTGAAACATAATCCTGTTGACCCTGGATCTGCCTGCAATGGTGATGGAAATTAGGGGTTCTGCTGGGGGGAGAAACTGACCTACAGGAGTTTAAACAGAGAGGGATTTTTTTTTTCCTAAATAGAAATCTGAAGTATAGGGTAGCCAAAGGAATCTATGACTATTAGAAATATTAAGAGAATTTAGCAGTATTCAGCATTTAATCAGGTTTGATTGACGATGTGATTGATTTAAGCTGGGAGTGACCTGTTCTCCAGAACTGGAACACGTAGTTGGCATTAACGGTGATGGTCTCAGGGCCAGGCTTCCAGCTCAAATGCAGTGGCCACTTAGCTTTGGGATAGCGGCTAGTTTGCTCAGTTTGTTTTTTCAGGAGGTTTTCTGCTTCCCCCACCTCCTGCTATGAGGCATTGTAGGTCATTCCCTCTTGGATATGAACTCTTGTTTTCTGGGACAGATTCTTGCTCTGTTACTCAGGCTGAAGTGCAGTGTCACAGTCTCGGCTCACTGCAACCTCCGCTTCCCAGGTTCAAGTGGTTCTCCTGCCTCAGCCTCCCGAGTAGCTGAGACTACAGGCATACACCACCATGCCCGGTTAATTTCTGTATTTTTAGCAGAAATAGGGTTTCATCATGTTGGCCGGGCTGGTGTTGAACTCTTAACCTTAAGTGATCTACCTGCCTTGGCCTCCCAGAGCGCTGGCATTACAGGTGTGAGCCACTGTGCCTGCCTTAAATAGGAACACTTGAATGGAGGGGAAACACGCACAGAGGGAAGCCTGAGAGGAAAACATATTTCTGAATAGAAAAGTTTGGTTTTAGCTTTTTGATGTCCATGTTTCCCTCATCTTTGCTCACGGCCTTAAAACTTAAAGTTACTGCTATAAATCTCATTTCCAGACTCATTCGCCCTTGGAGCAACGATTGTATAACCTCATTTTTCATTTTCTCTGTCATATGGAAAATGTAGAAATAAACTGTGTCCACTTGCAGAAAAGCTTCTGAAAGTAATCACTGTTTTAGAGAGCTGTGATTCGTAGAGTTTATAATGTTATTGACTGTCAACTTTGGTTAAAACAATCTTACTGACTACTACAGTACAGTAATTTTATATAAGGAATTTTGGCAAAATTCTTTGTTCTCTATAGGTCATAGATGAGATAGTAGGAAACTTCAGCAGAGCAGTGGATGGTTTGCAAGCTCATAACAAACTGCAGGAAGCTTGTGAGTTACTCCAGAAACTAACAGCCTTGACCCTGAGATTTTCTAAGCCGGCTCAGGTAAGCAGAGGAGTGACTGGGAGGGGAGAAGATAGGAAAGAGAGAAACGTGAAAAACAGAAAAAGAGAATCTAAAGCTGCATGTGGTGGCTCACGCCTATAATCCCAGCACTTTGGGAGGCCAAGGCAGGAGGATCACATGAGGCCAGGAGTTAGAGAACTGACTGGGCAACATGGCAAAACTCATCTCTACTGAAAAAGAAAAATTCAAAAATTAGCTGGGCTTGGTGGCGGGCACCTGTAATCCCAGCTACTCAGGAGGCTGAGGCACAAGAATTGCTTGGACCCAGGAGGCGGAGGCAGTGAGCCATTATCACACCACTGCACTCCAGCCTGGGTGGCAGTCAGAGACTCTGTCTCAAAAAAGAAAAAGAGAATCTGGAGATTGTACCCTGTGCCAAGCTTAACATTATAAAGACTGTTTAAATTTTAGCAAGGAAATTTTTACCTTTAAATCTGGAAAGTTAAGAATTAAATTGGTCAGTAGTGACATTCTTGGATATACTGTGTTTATGTTCATTTGTTCATTAATCAGGTTACTGCCTTGCTGTTGCCTTTGTTAGAAGTGTGCCGGCATTCAGCCAGGCACGGTGGCTCATGCCTGTAATCCCAACATTTTGGGAGGCCAAAGCAGGCAGATAGCTTTAGCCCAGGAATTCAAGACCAGCCTGGGCAACATGGTGAAACCCCATCACTATCAAAAATTCAACAATTAACTGAGCGTGGTGGCATGCGCCTGTGGTTGCAGCTGTTCAGGAGGCTGAGATGGGAGGGTGGCTGGAACTCGGAAGGTGGAGGTTGCAGTGGGCCAAGACTGCACCACTGCACTGCAGCCTGGGCAGCAGAGCCACACCCTGTCTGAAAAAGACAAACTCAGCATTGCTCTTTTCTTCAGCATTTCTTTTTTCAGTCAGGTGTTGTCAATTGGATATTTGGTCTACTTACCACTCAAAAAGAATTGTCAGTTCATCAGAATAATATGAAATATGAATCCTCCCTTATAGGTCATATGAAGTAATATATTCTCCTTCCGTGTCAAATTGTAACATTGTTTTTTATAAAATGCAAATTTAAAATAGTCAGGTGCTAGGTGTGTGGCTCGTGCCTGTAATCTAAACACTTTGGGAGACCAAGACAGGGAGATGTCTTGAGGCCATTGTGGGCAACATAGCCCCCGCCTCTACAATTTTTTTTTAATTAGGTGTGATGGTGTACACCTGAAGTCCTAGCTACTGGGGAGGCTGAGGCAGGAGGATTGCTTGAATCCAGGAGTTTGAGACTGCAGTGAGTCGTGATTGTTCCACTGCACTCTAGCCTGGGCAACAGAGCAAGACCCCATCTCTTAAAAGTAAAATTTTCAAAAGCAATCATAAACAGTTCAGGGATGTATGTTTGCTTTCTGATACTCCCAGGTTCATCTCATCAATTCCCTTATTTACCTGAGTGAACAGTTCCTGAGGATCCCATTTCAGAACAATAGCAGTCTGGGCTTCAAAGTTCCTGTGACTGTCTGCCTCTTTGATTCTTTCAACAATGTCATCAAAGCTGAAGAAGGAAGTTGGCAGGGATCCAAGCATGACCCTCAGCAGGTAGGTGCCAGGTATGCAGGTGGCCAAATCTGCTTAGAAGCATTTTAATATTGGCAGTTCCAGGTATCACAGCCTCTCCCCAGACCCTTAAAGAGAACCTTGCAGAAGAAACCACCTGCCACGCCTTCTCTGGGGTCTCCCTCCCCACCCCACCAGTAAGCCAAGACTCCCTAGTGCTACAATCAAGTGAAAAGGAGTTAGGGGCTGGGACCCCGTGGCTCATGCCTGTAATTCCAGCACTTTGGGAGGCCAAGGAAGGTAGATCACCTGAGGTCAGGAGTTCAAGACCAGCCTGGCCAACATGGCAAAACCGCATCTCTACTAAAAAAAAAAAGTTAGCCAGGTGTGGTGGCAGGTGCCTGTAATCCCAGCTACTCAGGAGACTGAGGCAAGAGAATCAATTGAATAAGGGAGGCAGAGGTTGCAGAGAACTAAGATCATGCATTCTAGCCCAGGCGACAGAGTGAGACGTCACTGGGGGGGAAATGACTTTGGAAAGGGTTGGCATACAGCAAACACTCAATAACTCACGTTTGCTATTCACATGAAAAGACATTCAACATCATTGGTCATTAGGGAAATGCAAATCAAAACCAAAGTGAGAGACTACTTCACACTCAAAAAGACAGAAAATAACAAGTACTTGCAAGGACGCTGAGAACTTGCAACCCCATCCATTGTTAGATTGTAAAATGATGCAGCCACTTTGGAAAACAGTTTGGCAGTTACTTAAAACGTAAAAAATAGGCCGAGCATAGTGGCTCATGCATGGTGGCGTGCACCTGTAGTCCCAGCTACTCAGGAGGCTGAGGCAGGAGAATCGCTTGAACCCAGGAGGCGGGGGTTGCAGTGAGCCTAGACCTTGCCAGACCACTCTAGTCTGGGCAACAGAACGAGACTTCCTCTCAAAAAAAAAGTAAAAAATAAAATCTCCATGTAATCTAGCAATTCTCCTAGTGTCTACCCCAGAGAATTGAAAACATGTCCATACAAAAACTTGTACACTCATGTTTGTAGCAGCATGGTTTAATAGCTAAGTAGCCAAAAAGTGGTAACTACTCATATCTGTGATCTGATGGATGGCTAAATGGAACCTGGTCTATTCATACAATGGAATATTATTCAGCAACAAAAGGGAATGAAGTCTTGGTACATGCTCCAACATGAGCCTTGAAAACATGATGCCAAGTAAGAGAAGCCAAAACAAAAGACTGTTGTGAGGCGTTTATGTGAAATGTCCCAAAGAGGCAAATCTATAGACACAAAGTAGATTCTTGGATGCCTAGAGATAGAGGGACTAGGGATGTGGGAATGAAGAGTTACTGCTAATGGGTACCAGGTTTATTTTATTTTATGAGACAGAGTCTCATTCTGTCTCCCAGGCTAGAGTGCAGTGGCACAATCTTGGCTCAATGCAACCTCCATCTCCCAGGTTAAAGCTATTCTTCCGCCTCAGCCTCTCAAGTAGCTGAAACTACAGGTATGTGTCACCATGCCCAGCTAATTTTTTGTATTTTCAGTAGAGACAGGGTTTCACCATGTCAATCAGGTTGGTCTCAAACTTCTGACCTCAAGTGATCGAACGGCCTCGGCCTCCCAAAGTCCTGGGACTACCGGTATGAGCCACCACACCCAGTTACCAAGTTTCTTTTAGGGAGGTTGAATCCTAAAATTAGATTGTGGTGATGGTTGCATAACCCTGTGAATATACTAAAAAACATTGTTATATACTCTCAGCGGATGAATTGTATATAGGAAAGTCATCTCAATAAAGCTGTCATTTAAAAAAACTATCATGAGCCGGTCTAGGCTGATTATCTGACGGGGCAAAGGCATATTTCTTTGGTTAGCCCTCTTAGTTGTGTTCAAAGGATGGTAAGTCTTTAGCCAGGTTGCAGGTACTTTCTGCTGGGTTCCAAGGCCTTCTCTAAGGAATACCAGCCTTATTACACCACTGAAAATTCCCCTTCCAGTCCTCTCCAAAACATTTTACTGATACAAGACACTAAGGTTTTACAAGTCACATGCCGTTTTCCTCTCCATGCAGGTAGAAGACATGCTGGAAATGTCCTTGGTGGTGCTTGGGAATATTGGGGAAGCGTTTCTAGAGCAGAAGCAGCCTCCTGAGTCTTCCGTGACTTTGACCTCTTCCATTGCTTCTCTGCTACTGAGCAGGTTAACAGGGGAGGAGGGAAAGGGATGAGTTTCACTGTTTTTCACTCTCAGAGGCCATAGAAAAATTGACTTCCCTTTTAATTTGTTTCTCATTAGACAAAACCTATCAACTTTACCTCTGAGCTCTTACATGCTGGGTCACCCGGCCCCTGTGAGACTAGGCTTTCCATCGGCTTCAGCTTTGAAGGAGCTCTTGAATAAACACCCCGGAGTTAATGTCCAAGTGAGTGTGAAATTGATTGTGATCAGAATGAAAATGGGATCTTATGGCCACGTAGGCATTGGGGTGAAAGTAATGTACCATGAAATGTAAGCTGAACAGGGCAGATCAGATGAGAGAGTTTATGTGGCATTTGTTTTTATTTCATACTGGCAGGGATAGAGACCTCTTAAAAAATGATCCACTGTAGAAGTTGGGAGCATTAAGCAGATTTCTGGATTTAATTACATTTCTAGGTTCCGATTTGAATTGATCTCAACTCTGCAGTTTGTTTTTTGTTGTTGTTGTTTTGAGTCTCAATCTGTCACCCAGGCTGGCGTGCAGTGGCATGATCTCAGCTCACTGCAGTCTGCCTTCTGAGTTTAAGTGCTTCTCCTGCCCTAGCCTCCTGAGTAGCTGGGATTACAGGCGTGGCCTACCATACCCAGCTAATTTTTGTATTTTTAGTAGAGATGTGGTTTCACCATGTTGGCCAGGCTGGTCTCAAACTCCTGACCTCGGATGATCCACCTGCCTCAGCCTCCCATAGTGCTGGGATTACAGGTGTGAGCCACTGTACCCAGCCTCTGCACTATTTAAAAAAAAAAAATCTGGGACTATCTAAGTAATTATTGACTAAGTATACCAACCTACTCACAACAACGTATTTCTTTCAGCAATTATCTGACAAATACAGGTAGCATCGTTTCCTTATCCTGAAGAGCAAAATAGCTACTTCCTAGTAAAATAGAATCCTCCAGATACAAAGAAGAAAAGTAGTAATTCTGGGGGCTCCAGAATTTTTAATCTTTAATTAAATCTTTTTTTTAATCTTTAACTATTTCTCATAAAGGTTATAATATAGAATGTTGTTTATTAGTAGGGGCAACATTCCAACATTTACTTTAATACATGATATCCAGCTGGGCATGATGGCTCACGCCTGTAATCCCAACACTTTGGGAGGCTGAAGCAGGAGGATCCTTCAAGGCCAGGAGTTTGAGACCAGCCTGACCAGCATAAGGAAACCCCATCTCTACTAAAAATACAAACATTAGCCAGGCATGGTGGCACATGCCTGTAGTCCCAGCTACTTGCAAGGCTGAGGCAGGAGACTCACTTGAACCTGGGAGGCAGAGGTTGCAGTGAGCTGTGATCATGCCACTGTATTCCAGCCTGGTTGACAGAGTATGACTCTTTCTCTAAAAAAAAAAAAATTAGACATATACACACATATAAGTTTATATATACATATATATGATAGCTGATATCTTTCTACTTATTGGGGTCATATATAAACATTTCAGCAGTGGATAAAACTGGACTTTTCTTTGTCTCTAGGTAACAGGACTAGCTTTCAATCCCTTCAAGGATTTAGACAACAGAAATATTGTTGGAAGCATTGGAAGTGTGTTACTAAGCGCCAATCATAAATTGCTCCAAGTCCATGATTTAATGGAGGACATTGAGGTAACAACAGATTCTTAGGGAATAAAATAGAGAATGGGATATTCTAGAACAGGGTGGGAGGATGCAACAACTTAAAAAGAGTTATGTTAGAATGATGGCAGTGCCATTGTTTTGTTATTAACATCTTAGGAACTTTTACAGGGAGACATACCTTACCCTTAGAAAAAGTGTTTTAGAGAGCCGGACACAGTGGCTCATGCCTGTAATCCCAGCACTTTGGGAGGCTGAGGTGGGAAGATCACTTGAGGTCAGGAGTTTGAGACCAGCCTGGCAAACATGATGAAACCCTGTCTCTACTAAAAATACAAAAAATTAGCTGGGTGTGGTGGTGGGCACCTGTAATCCCAGCTACTCTGGAGGCTGAGGCGGGAGAATAGCTTGAATCTGGGAGGCAGAGGTTACGGTGAGCTTAGATCACGCCACTGCACTCTAGCCTGGGCAACAGAGTGACCCTTGATGTCAAAAATAATAACTGTTTTGGGTCTTGGTCTATGGACTTTTTAACCTCAGCGGTATCAGCTACTAACATCCAATGAGGAAGCCTTGGCTGAGACAGTGGCTCATGCCTATAATCCTAGCATTTGGGGAGGCTGGGGCAGTAGGATTGCTTGAGACCAGGAGTTCAAGATGAACCTGGCCAACGTAGCAAGACCCCATTTCAGGGGGAAAAAAAAAAAAAAGACCTAGGAAGTTTCCTTACTTTATCAATATAATGGATTTTGAAAGGCATCAATGAATGGACCATTGTAATGATTGTCTCTTATTCTAGATCATGCTCTGGAGAAATGTTAGCCTGGAAACCCATCCCACCAGCGTCAACATGAGCACAGATCACTTTACAATCACAGTGAATGTCACATCCTTGGAGAAATCCCTGATAGTGAGCATAGATCCTGACAGTCCCCTTTTAATGACGCTCTACCTGGGGTTCCAGTATCAGCCTAACTGCACTCACTTTCACCTGAACATCACTCTTCCAAAGGATAAGGTGTGGCAAAAAGGTAAAACCCAATCAGCTGTTAGAAACTTACCTTGTTTTTTGTTTTTTTGTTTTTGTTTTTTTTTTGCCTAGGTTGGAGTAGAGTGGCACCATCACTGTTCACTGCAGCCTCAAACTGTCCAAACTGTCAGGCTCAAGGGATCCTCCTGCCTTAGCCTCTTGAGTAGCTGGGACTACAAGTGCACACCACCACATTTAGCTAATTTTTTTAAAAGAACTTATGTAGAGATAGGATCTTGCCATGTTGCCTAAGCTGGTCTTGAACTCCTGGCTTCAAGCGGTCTTCCCGTCTCAGCCTCTCAGAGTGCTGGGATTACAAGCATGAGCTACTGTGCCTGGCCAGTAGCTCATGCCTGAGCTAGAATTTTTTTCTTGTTTTAAAAAATTTTTATTTTGAGATAATTGTAGATTCGCATGCAGTTGCAAGAAATAACAGAGACGGGCCAGGCCCAGTGGTTGACACGTGTAATCCTAGCACTTTGGGAGGCTGAGGTGGGTGGATCTCCTGAGGTTAGGAGTTCGAAGTTAGCCTGGTCAACAGGGTGAAAACCCCATCTCTGTTAAAAATACAAAAAATTAGCCGGGCCGTGGTGGCGGGCACCTGTAATACAGGCTACTTGAGGGCTAAGGCAGAAGAATTGCTTAAACCAGGTGTCCCCAAACTTTTTACACAGGGGGCCAGTTCACTGTCCCTCAGACTGTTGGAGGGCCACCACATACTGTGCTCCTCTCACTGACCACCAGTGAAAGAGGTGCCCCTTCCTGAAGTGCGGCGGAGGGGGGGGGGGGCGGGGAGATAAATGGCCTCAGGGGGCTGTAGTTTGGGGATGCCTGGCTTAAACCCTGGAGGTGAAGGTTGTAGTGAGCCAAGATTGTGCCATTGTACTCCAGTGTGGGTGACAGAAGAAAAAAAACTGGACAGGCTGGGCGCGCCTTGGCTTAATGCCTGAAATCCTAGCACTTTGGGAGGGAGGGCCCAGTGGATCACCTGAGGTCAGGAGTTTGAGATTAGCCTGGCCAACATGGTAAAACCTCGTTTCTACTAAAAATACAAAAATAAGCTGGTGATGGTGGTGGATACCTGTAATCCTAGCTACTCGGGAGGCTGAGGCCCAAGAATCACTTGAACCTGGGAGGCAGAGTTTGCATTGAGCTGAGATGATGCTACTCCAGACCAGCCTGGGTGACAGAGACTCTGCCTCAAAAAGAAAAGAACAGCAGCAACGGCTTGTATACCTTTCATCCACCTCTGAATGGCAGCATCTTGCATAACTATAGTAAATCACAACCAGAAAATCATATTAATACACTGCACTGATTTTATGCAGATTTCAGCAGGTTTACAAGCACATTTCTGTATGTGTGTGTATTGAGTTCTGTGTGATTTTACCACATGTGTAGATACATGTGACCATGAAATGCATTTTTTTAAAAGATTATTGGATGGATGAGGATATATATGTGAGGAAGCAGATTTAGTAAGATGTTAATTGTAGAATCTAGTTGGTGTTTATATGATTATTCCCTGTAAAGTTCTTTCTGTATGGTTGAAGATTTTCATAATAAGTTGAGACCCACAGCAGAAGTAAGGTTCACAGCACCGTGGGTTACACGTACTTCACATTTATATATTGTAGATGAGTATATACAAAATACATCATACATATTTCAACTTTATTATTATTATTATTTTTGAGACAGAGTTTTGCTCTTGTTACCCAGGCTGGAGTGCAATGGCGTGATCTCAGCTCACCGCAACCTCTGCCTCCTGGGTTCAGGCAATTCTCCTGCCTCAGCCTCCTGAGTAGCTGGGATTACAGGTACGTGCCACCATGCCCAGCTAATTTTTTGTAATTTTAGTAGAGACGGGGTTTCACCGTGTTGTCCAGGATGGTCTCGATCTCTCGACCTTGTGATCCACCCGCCTCAGCCTCCCAAAGTGCAGGGATTACAGGCTTGAGCCACTGCGCCCAGCCTATTATTATTTTTTTAAAGATGGGGTTTCACCACATTGGTCAGGCTGGTCTTGAACTCCCGACCTCAGGTGATCAACCCGCCTTGGCCTCCAAAGTGCTTGGATTACAGGTGTGAGCCACCACACCGGGCCTATTTTTTTAATGCCTACAGCACCCAGTATTCCCAGGCAGTCTCCCATCCAAGTAATAAGCAGACCCGTCCCTGCTTAGCTTCCAGGATCAGGCACATTCAGGGTGGTACAGTCATAGACTTCAACTTTGTTTCTTATCTTAGATTTGAGGAAGAAAGGCCTGATGATACCTCAGTGAATGACTATACTGTAGTTTTTAAAAGTTACGAATTTCTGAGATATAACATTACAGTTAAAAATGTCTGGCCTGAGGCCGGGCGTGGTGGCTCAAGCCTGTAATCCCAGCACTTTGGGAGGCCGAGGCGGGTGGATCACGAGGTCGAGAGATCGAGACCATCCTGGTCAACATGGTGAAACCCCGTCTCTACTAAAAATACAAAAATTAGCTGGGCATGGTGGCGCATGCCTGTAATCCCAGCTACTCAGGAGGCTGAGGCAGGAGAATTGCCTGAACCCAGGAGGCGGAGGTTGCGGTGAGCCGAGATGGTGCCATTGCACTCCAGCCTGGGTAACAAGAGCGAAACTCCGTCTCAAAAAAAAAAAAAAATGTCTGGCCTGGTGTAGTGGCTCATGCCTATAATGCCAGCACTCTGAGAGGCCACAGCAGGAGGATCACTTAAAGCCAGGAGGTTGAGACCAGCCTGGGCAACGTAGCAAGACTGTCTCTACAAAAAAAAAATAAAAAAATAAAAAATAAATAAATAAATAAAATTTTTCAAAAAAAGCTGGGTGTAGGGATGTGCACCTGTAGACCCTAGCTACTTGGGAGGTTGAGGCAAGAGGATTGCTTGAGGCAAGGAGTGGAAAACTGCAGTGAATTTGGATCATACCACTGCACTCCAGCCTTGGTAACAGCAAGAAACTGTCTTGAAAATAAAAAATAAAAATTCCTGATATATATAAAAAGTGCTTAGATATATTTGATCAAAAACATGCTCTGTGGGTATCTACTTTAAATGTAATAGTGAAAAGTCTTAATGAGAGCTACACTTTTGTGTTTATTTTTACATTGGGAAAATTCCAAGTGGAGAAAGCATGCTACAGTCTCCCATCAGGACCACTTTTCTGTGTTGGAACAACTTTCTCTGGTTCGTACATGGGCCCCTCTCACACAGGAACAATCACTTTTCTTTCTTTTAGGCAAAGCCCCTGAGGCAGCAATGCTCACTACCAGGCTGCCCACTGCGGGGTTTGTGTGACTTTCCAACAGGCCCTTTCCCGATTCCAAAGGTGCGTTCGGTTTTGCTTTTGGTTTTGGTTTTGTTTTGAGATGGAGTCTCACTCTGTCCCCCAGGCAGGAGTGCAGTTGCATGGTCTCAGCTCCCTGCAGCCTGAGCCTCCCAGGTTCAAGTGATTCTCATGCCTCAGCCTCCCCAGCAGCTGGGACTGCAGGTGTATATGCCACCACACCTGGCTGATTTTCTGTGTTATTAGTAGAGACAGGGTTTTGCCATGTTGGCCACGCTGGTCTCCTGAGCTCAAGAGATCCTCCTGCCTTAGCCTCCCAAAGTCCTTGGATGACAAGTGTGAGCCACTGCGCCTGGCCATGCCCTCAGTTTTTCTTGCTGATCTTGGCAATGATATCTTGTCATTCAGAGTGGAAAGGGGCCTTTGAGAGCCTTTGTTTGAGAAATAGGACTCTTTGAAAGATGAGAAAGCTGAGGCCCAGAGAGACCAGGTGACTGGCCTTATCCCCTACCAGCCAGCTGGTGACAGAGCCAGGCCTGACCTCAGGTCCCTGGCGTGCCAACCTGGGCTTTGTTCCTGGAGCCACCCTATCCCTGCCTTTGCTTCACCCTGGGGTTTCTCTTGTTACATTAGTCTTCCATCTGCTAACAGGTGTGTGATCATTTCATTTTTGTAAACCTCATAATACATTCTAAATCATTAGACCTAAATGATCACATACCAAAAGAATGTCTTTTTTTTTTTTTTTTTTTTTTTTTGGAGACAAAATCTGTTGCCCAGGCTGAAGTAAAGTGGTGTGATTTCAACTCACTGCAACTTCTCCAAGTTCAAGCAATTTTCTTGGCTCAGCCTCCAGAGTAGCTGGGATTACAGGCCCAGGTCACCACACCCCACTAATTTTTGTATTTTTAGTGGATGTGGGGTTTTGCCACATTCACCAGGCTGGTCTCGAACTCCTGATCTCAAGTGATCCACCCACCTCGGCTTTCTGAAGTGCTGGGATTATAGGCGTGAGCCACGGTGCCTGGCCCAAGACGTAGCTCTTGAGCCTTGTCATGCCAGTGATTCCTTAGGAGCAAAGCAGTGACCCAGAGCCTGGGATTGTATCACTGGTCATTTTCATTCCAATCGCTTGTGACTCTAGGTTTATGATGGTCTCATTTGTAAAATATTAACAGTAGATCCTTTGGAAGAGAGGTTCTACTGGTGCTTTTGTCCTGTTTGATACACAAGTAAGTACTCTTCTTTGTTCTAAGATGAGGAGTACACGTGGGTGCTGACTCCAGAGCATCTACAGCACGGGATTGGCACCTACTATATAACAGCTGTGCTGAGCGAGAGCCAGGAGGGTGCTCAGCAGGTCTCGGTCGTCACAGCCGTCACTCAGTGTTATTACTGGGACAGCCACAACCGGACATGGAGCAGCAATGGATGCCAAGTAAGAAACTGAGCTGCTTCTGGGGCCTCTCTTCTGTGGCGGCCTTTAAACCCAATGCATCTGTTATCTCATTTGGGGCAGCCCAGCAAGAAAAATAATCAGGAGGTGTGAAGTGACTGCTTGGGCCTTGGGCAAGAGGAGGGTTGTGTGTGGTGGGCAGGGCAAGTGTGGCTTTTCTGAGCAGGAGCAGCTTTGTGCTTTATCTTTGTAGTTTCTTTCTCAAACAGTTCAGGGTAGACCTGACCATTGTGGTTAAAATAAAACAGTGTGTGGAAGCTGTAAAATTCTACAAGTCCTAAATAGGTCTGTGGGTGGGTAAAATGAAGCCTCTTGCTAAACAAAAGAGAACCTTCATAGCTCGAGAAAGAACTATGTTCTCAGATTCTTGTGCAATCCAGGCCAAATGAGGACAGGTTGTCACTTTTGTAATTAATCACCTTGTTCCTGGTGTCCAGCTGGTTTAAAACACCACTATTACGTTTGCACACTCGTGATTCTGTGAGATTATGCCTGATAAGGTCCTGGTTCGGTAGCTCAAAGAACGTGATGAAGGTCTTGCAAAGCATGAAGCTGTCCTAAAAAGAGCTGAGAAAGTGCCATCTAGATTGGGAAGAGAAGGAAAGAGATTTTTTTTTTTTTTTTTTTTTTTTTAGATAGGGTCTCACTGTGTTGCTCAAGCTGGAGTGCAGTGGCATGATCACGCCTTACTGCAGCCTCAACTTCCTGGGCTCAAAAGATCCTCCTGCCTCAGCCTCTCAAGTAGTGGGGATGAAAGGCATATGCTACCACACCTGGCTAATTTTTTGGACAGACAGGGTCTCAACATGTTGCCTACACTGGTCTTGAACATCTGGGCTCAGGCAATCCTCCCACCAGCACTTTGGGTGGCCAGAAAGAGGATATTTAGGAAGGAGTCTGTACCATTCATAGACTCAGGCAGTCATAGCTGGACAATGGCTATCAAGCAAATGTATAAACAGGGCTTGTTAAAAAGGAGATTCTGATACAGTAGCTCTGGTCAGGCCCTGAGTCTTTCTAACAAGCTCCCAGCTGATGCCAGTGTTGGTTGTTAGGGAAACCATACTTTGAGAAGCTTGAGAGCTTTTCCCCTCCCACAGCACAGACCCATTGATTGCAGAAGGCATCAGGTATTTCCCACCTCCTTGAAGCACTCTGAAGTGCTTGGACCCCATGAAAGGAATTGAGCTGCCCCAAGAGTTTTTTTTCTTTTTTGAGACGGAGTTTGGTTCTTGTTTCCCAGATCCTGGAGAACATTGGCAGGATCTCACAGGTTCAAGGAATTGTGCTGCCTCAGCCTCCCAAGTAGCAACAATTACAGGCACCTGCCACCACATCCAGCTAATTTTTTGTATTTTTAGCAAAGACAGGGTTTCACCATGTCGGCCAGGGTGATCTCAAACTGCTGACCTCAGGTGATCTGCCCGCTTCAGCCTCCCAAAGTGCTGGGCTTAAAGGCAGCAGCCACCACGCCTGGCCAAGAGTTCTAAGGGCCGACTATATTGGGCCTCCAGGACTTAACTGTGTGCACTGGAAATAAATACGTAGTCATGACAGTACTTTAGGTTTTTCATCCATGAAACCAAACATAGAATTGGTAACTTCCATGTAATCACCTTCTGACATTTTTTTTAAATATTAGGAAGTAATGTTCCAACATACGGAAAGTCATAAATAATATAAAAAACATTGAATGCACATTCAACTTTATTAAAGTTCGTATTTTCCGCAGCTTCAGATTATCTTTAAAAATTTCAGGAATAATTGAAGCCCTTTGTGTAGCCCTCTCTAATCTCCAACCTTCCTTCCCTTCCACCAAAGTGTAACTACTGGCCTGAATTTGTGTGGGTGTTCATTCTTTCAGCAAGCATTTATTGCATATCTTCTACATGTCATGCCCAAGTCTAGGAACTAGAGATAAAGCAGTGAACAAGACAATATCCTCATGAACTTATGATTCTAAAGAGGGAAACAGACAATGAATAGATAAGTCTTTTGCATGCTTCTTAGGCTTTGCGTAAATAGCACTATACTGTACATATCTCTTTAATGTGTTTTATTTACTCAGCATTTATCTGTGTTGATATATCTTTTCATTCATTTTTTACATTTTTATTTATTTTTGAAGATGGAGTTTTGCTCTGTCACCCAGGCTGGAATGCAGTGGTATGATCTCAGCTCACTGCAAACTCTGCCTCCTGGATTCAAGTAATTCTCCTGCCTCAGCCTCCCAAATAGCTAGGACTACAGGCATGCACCACCACACCTGGCTAATTTTTATATTTTAGGTAGACATAGGGTTTTGCCATGTTGTCCAGGCTGGTCTCGAACTCAGCCTCAGGGAATCCACCTGCCTCAGCCTCCCAAAGTGCTGAGATTACAGGTATGAGCCACCACACCTGGCTAATTCATTCATTTTTAACTGCTGTATAGAATTCTATTAGTTTGCGTTTGCCTATTTACGTATTTATTAATTTGTATGTCCTGTTATTGAACATGTTAGTTTCTTCCTGTTTTTGGTAATTAAAAACAAGGGTGACAAAACATTTCTTTTAGTAGATCTTTATACACATGTGCAAAGTTCCCCTAGAACATATATACATTCAGAACTGGAATTGCAGGATTCAAAGGGTTGGTGCTTCTTCAGCTGTACTAGGTGTTGCTGAATTGCTTTCCACATTGGTTATACCAGTTTACGCCATGACCAGCAGTGAGTGAGAGATCCAAGCATCTCTTTCCATTTCTAAATTGCCAGTGTTTGTGTCTGGCTCATCCTTAGCACTCTATCCGACTACAGTCAACATCTTGATTCTAATTCCAGGTTGGGCCACAGAGCACAATTCTGAGGACACAGTGTCTCTGTAACCACCTGACCTTCTTTGCCAGCGATTTCCTCGTGGTGCCCAGGACTGTGAATGTTGAAGACACTATCATACTCTTCCTTCGTGTGACCAGCAATCCTGTTGGGGTGTCGCTGCTGGCCAGCCTTTTAGGATTCTACATGATCACAGTTGTGTGGGCCTGGAGAAAGGATCAAGCAGATATGCAGAAGGTAATGAGACGTGGAGTCCAACAGTTTCACCATGATACTGAGTATGTTAAATAATACGGGGAAAAAACATACCTTTGTCAAAAGAAGCCAGTGGTGCAATACTGAGAGCCATAGAAATTCAAGTGAAACTTTTCTTAAATTTACCTTCATGTCCACTGTCTCAAGACCTAAGAACTTTTTCTCTTTTTTTTTTTTTTTTTTTCTGGATCCAAGATTGGACCGTTGTGGGACTCATTTTAGACTAGGAATGAGCCAAAAGAAAACACCAGCTGGGTGCAGTGGCTCATGCCTGTAATCCCAGCAGTTTGGGAGGCCAGGGCAGGAGGATCACTTGAGCTCAGGAGTTCACGACCAGCCTGGGCACCATAGCAAGACTTTGTCTCTACTGAAAATTTGGAAAAAAAAAAATTAGCCTGGCATGGTGGTGCATCCTTGTAGTCTCAGCTACCTGGGTAGCTGAGGTGGGAAGATCACTTGAGCCCAGGATCTTGAGGCTGCAGTGAGCTATTGTTGTGCCACTTTACTCTAGCCTGGACAATAGAGACCCTGTCTCCAAAAAAACAAAAAAAGGAAAAGGAAACACCTAAAGAGCTTAACTACAGTCAAATGCAACTTTATCCTACTTTATACATTGGATATGAAAGTTATATGTAAGTTGGCAGGGCACACTGGCTCAACGACAGTAATCCCGGCACTTTGGGAGGCCACCTCAGGTAGATCACCTGAGGTCAGGAGTTGAAGACCAGCGTGGCCAACTTGGTGAAACCCTGTCATTACTAAAAATAGAAAAATTAGCCGGGTGTGGTGGAACATGCCTGTAATCCCAACTACTTGGAAGGCTGAGGCAGCAGAATTGCTTGAGCCCAGGAGAAGGAGGTTGCAGTGAGCCAAGATCGTGCCACTGCACTCCAGCCTGGCCAACAGAATGAGACTATGTCTCAAAAAAAGAAAGTAAGTTATATGTAAGTCAAATTATAACTTAATGTAACTGGCCAGGTAAAGTGGCTCACGCCTGTAATCCCAACACTTTGGGAGGTCAAGGCTGGTGGATCACTTGAGGTCAAGAGTTAAAGACCAGCCTGGCCAACATGGTGAAACCCCATCTTTACTAAAACTATAAAAATTAGCCAGACGTGATGGTGGGCACCTGTAATCCCAGCTACTTAGGAGGCTGAGGTCGGGGGATCACTTGTACCAGAGAGGTAAATGTTGCAGTGAACGAAGAACACAACACTTGACTCCAGCCTGGTCAACATAGCAAGACTGTCTAAAAAAAAAAAAAAGTAAAAATGTAACGATAATATACAAGAAACCTATATGGAATCTTTATAAAAACAAAAACCTTTGCCGGGCACAGTGGCTCACGCCTGTAATCCCAGCACTTTGAGAGGCCGAGGTGGGCAGATCATCATGAGGTCAAGAAATTGAGACCATCCTGGCCAACATGGTGAAACCCCATCTCTACTAAAAATATAAAAATTAGCTGAGCTTGGTGGTGGGCACCTGTAATCCCAGCTACTCAGGAGGCTGAGGCAGAGAACCACTTGAACCCAGGAGTCGGAGGTTGCAGTGGCACAATCTTGGTTCACTTGCGCCACTGCACTCCAGCCTGGGCGACCAAGCAAGACTCCATCTAAAAATACCTTCTTTCCATGTGTATGTTCTTCCTATGTTTTCTTGCACTTGGAAATTCTAGAATACGCCAGGTGTTCATTTCTTGTTGCCTTGAGTTCAGGGTTGTCAGTGTCAGTAAACAAAAATTCAGACTACCTAGTTAAATTTGCATTTTAAACAAATAGTGTGTTTTTAGTGTAAGTATGTCCCAAATCATTGATAGTTTATCTGAAATGCAAATTTAGCTGGGCTTTCTCTGTTATGTGGTGACTGTACCTGAGTGGGAGGGAGGTGGGAGGATTTAGAGGCCCAAGACATGATCAGGTGATTGATTCTGTGACTATTTCACTTGAGAGGTGCAGGCCCGGAGGTTCAGGCCTCATCCCCACTTTAGTGGCTTAGGTCTGCTGGTGTCTGTCTGCTGACCACATGTCCGCCCTGCTTTCTCTAGGGCTGCCACACCTGTGGGCTGCCTCCTCTTGCTCCTCAGCTGGAGGCAGCTATACTAAGTGGAGGCCTCATAAGTTGCTTAGTTCTGCTTTTCTTGCAGGTGAAGGTTACTGTCCTGGCTGATAATGACCCCAGCGCTCAGTTTCACTACCTGATTCAGGTCTACACCGGATATAGAAGAAGGGCTGCTACAACAGCTAAGGTTAATGAGATAAATGTTCTTCCCTCATTGCGTCCTGTCTTCTGCCACAGGAGATACACTCTGAGTTGGTGATATCCTGGAAACCAATAGCACTTTAAGAGAGATCAGAGGCTGGGCATGATGGCTCATGCCTGTAATCCAAGAACTTTGAGAGGCCAAGGCAAGCAGAGTGTGAGGTCAGAAGTTCGAGACGAACCTGATGAACATGGTGAAACCTCATCTCTACTGAAAATACAAAAATTATCCAGGCATGGGAGTGAGCACTTGTAATCTCACCTACTCAGGAGGCTGAGGCAGGAGAATAGCTTGAACTCGGTAGGCAGAGCTCACAGTAAGCAGAGCTAGCTAGCAGTGAGCTGAGATAGGGCCACTGCATTCCAGCCTGAGTGACATAGCGAGACTCCATCTCAAAAAAAAAAAAAAAGATCAGAGATTGGTATTTTATAGTTCTTTTTTTTTTTCTTCTTTTTTATTGCATTTTAGGTTTGGGGGTACATTCGAAGAACATGCAAGATAGTTGCATAGGTACACACATGGCAGTGTGATTTGCTGCCTTCCTCTCCTTCACCTATATCTGGCATTTCTCCCCATGCTCTCTCTCCCCAACTCCCCACCCCCGACTGTCCCTCCCCCATTTCCCTCCAACAGACCCCGGTGGGTAGTGCTCCCCTCCCTGTGTCCATGTGTTCTCATTGTTCACCACCCGCCTATGAGTGAGAACATGTGGTGGTTGATTTTCTGCTCTTGTGTCAGTTTGCTGAGAATGATGGTTTCCAGGTTCATCCATGTCCCTACAAAGGACACAAACTCATCATTTTTGATGGCTGCATAATATTCCATGGTGTATATGTGCCCCATTTTCCCTGTCCAGTCTATCATCGATGGGCATTTGGGTTGGTTCCAGGTCCTTGCTATTGTAAACAGTGCTGCAATGAACATTCATGTGCATGTGTCCTTGTAGTAGAATGATTTATAATCCTTTGGACATATACCCAGTAATGGGATTGCTGGGTCAAATGGAATTTCTATTTCTAGGTTCTTAAGGAATTGTAACACTGTCTTCCACAATGGTTGAACTAATTTACACTCCCACCAACAGTGTAAAAGTGTTCCTATTTCTCTACATCCTCTTCAGCATCTGTCGTCTCTAGATGTTTTTAATGATCGCCATTCTAACTGGTGTGAGATGGTATCTCAATGTGGTTTTGATATGCATTTCTCTAATGACCAGTGATGATGAGCATTTTTTCATATGTTTGTTGGCCTCATGTATGTCTTCTTTTGTAAAGTATCTGCTCATATCCTTTGCCCACTTTTGAATAGGCTTGTTTGTTTTTTTTCTTGTAAATCTGTTTTAGTTCTTTATAAATTCTGGACCAGCCATTTGTCAGATGGTTAGACTGCAAAAATTTTTTTCCATTCTGTTGGTTGCCGATTGACTCTAATGACTGTTTCTTTTGCTGTGCAGAAGCTGTGGAGTTTGATTAGGTCCCATTTGTCTATTTTGGCTTTTGTTGCCAATGCTTTTGGTGTTTTGGTCATGAAGTCCTTGCCTATGCCTATGTCCTGAATGGCTTTGCCTAGATTTTCTTCTAGGGTTTTTATGGTGTTAGGTCTTATGTTTAAGTCTTTAATCCATCTGGAGTTAATTTTAGTGTAAGGTGTCAGGAAGGAATCCAGTTTCTGCTTTCTGCACATGGCTAGCCAGTTTTCCCAACACCATTTATGAAACAGGGAATCCTTTCCCCATTGCTTGTTTTTGTCAGGTTTGTCAAAGATCGGATGGTTGTAGATATGTTGTGTTGCCTCTGAGGCCTCTGTTCTGTTCCATTGGTCTATGTCTCTGTTTTGGTACCAGTACCATGCTGCTTTGATTACTGTAGCCTTGTAGTATAGTTTGAAGTCCGGTAGTGTGATGCCTCCCACTTTGTTCCTTTTGCTTAGAATCGACTTGGTTATGTGGGCTCTCTTTTGGTTCCATATGAAGTTTAAGGTGTGTTTTTCCAGTTCTTTGAAGAAGGTCATTGGTAGCTTGATGGGGATAGGGTTGAATCTGTAAATTACTTTGGGCAATATGGCCATTTTCACGATACTGATTCTTCCTAACCATCAACATGGAATGTTTCTCCATCTGTTTGTGTCCTCTCTTATTTCGTTGAGCAGTGGTTTGTAGTTCCCCTTGAAGAGGTCCTTTATGTTAGTTGTTAATTGTATTCCTGGGTATTTTATTCTCTTTGTAGCAATTGTGAATGGAAGTTCATTCTTGATTTGGCTCTCTTTAAGTCTGTTATTGGTGTATAGCAATGCTTGTGATTTTTGCGCATTGATTTTGTATCCTGAGACTTTGCTGAAGTTGCTTATCAGTTTCAGGAGATTTTGGGCTGAGACAATGGGGTCTTCTAGATGTAAAATCATGTCATCTGCAAAGAGAGACAATTTGACTTCCTCCTTTCCTATTTGAATACCCTGTATTTCTTTTTCTTGCCTGATTGCTCTGGCTAGAACTTCCAGTACTATATTCAATAGGAGTGGTGAGAGGGGCATCCTTGTCTAGTACCAGATTTCAAAGGGAATGCTTCCAGTTTTTGCCCAATCAGTATGATATTGGCTGTTGGTTTGTCATAAATAGCTTTTATTATTTTGAGATACGTTCTGTCAATACCTAGTTTATTGAGGGTTTTTAGCATAAAAGGCTGTTGAATTTTGTCAAAGACCTTCTCTGCATCAGTTGAGATAATCATGTGGTTTTTGTCTTTGGTTCTGTTTATGTGGTGAATTACGTTTATGGACTTGCGTATGTTGAACCAGCCTTGCATCCCCGGGATGAATCCTACTTGATCATGGTGGATAAGCTTTTTGATGTGCTGTTGCAATTGGCTTGCCAGTATTTTATTGAAGATTTTTGCATCTATGTTCATCATGGATATTGGCCTGAAGTTTTCTTTTCTTGTTAAGTCTCTGCCAGGTTTTGGTATCAGGATGATGTTGGTCTCATAAATGATTTGGGAAGGATTCCCTCTTTTTGGATTATTTGGAATAGTTTCAGAAGGAGTGGTACCAGCTCCTCTTTGTATGTCTGGTAGAATTTGGCTGTGAACCCATCTGGACCTGGGCTTTTTTTGGGTGGTAAGCTCTTATTTTGCTGCCTCAACTTCAGACCTTGTATTGGTCTATTCAGGGTTTTGACTTCTTCCTGGTTTAGGCTTTGGAGGAGGCAAGTGTCCAGGAATTGATCCATTTCTTCCAGGTTTACTAGTTGATGTGCATAGAGTTGTTTGTAATAATCTCTGATGATGGTTTGGATTTCTGTGGAATCTGTGGTGATATCCCCTTTATCGTTTTTTTATTGCATCTATTTGGTTATTCTCTCTTTTCTTTATTCATCTGGCTAGTGCTCTATTTTGTTGATCTTTTTGAAAAACCAGCTCCTGAATTTACTGATTTTTTTGAAGGTTTTTTTTGTGTCTATCTCCTTCAGTTCTGCTCTGATCTTAGTTATTTCTTGTCTTCTGTTAGGTTTTGAGGTTTTTTTTATCTTTCTCCTCTAGCTCTTTCAATTTTGATGATAGGGTGTCAATTTTCAATCTCTCCTTGCTTCTCATGTGGGCACTTATTGCTATATATTTTCCTCTAGAGACTGCTTTAAATGTGTCCCAGAGATTCTGGTATGTTATTGTCTTCATTCTCTTTGGTTTTGAAGAACATCTTTATTTCTGCCTTCATTTCATTGTTTATCCAGTCAACATTCAAGAGCCAGTTGTTCAGTTTCCATGAAGCTGTGCAGTTCTGAGGTAGTTTCTGCATTCTGAGTTCTAACTTGATTGCATTGTGGTCTGAGAGACTGTTATGATTTCCATTCTTTTGCATTTATTTGCTGAGGAGTGATTTGCTTCCAATTACATGGTCAGTTTTAGAGTAGATGTGATGTGGTGCTGAGAAGAATGTATATTCTGTGGATTTGGGGTGGAGAGTTCTGTAAATGCCTATTAGGTGTGCTTGTTTCAGGTCTCAGTTCAAGTCCTGGATATCCTTGTTAATTTTCTGTCTTGTTGATCTGTCTAATACTGACAATGGGGTGTTAAAGTCTCCCACTATTATTGGGTGGAAGTCTAAGTCTCTTTGTAAGTCATTAAGAACTTGCCTTATGTATCTGGGTGCTCCTGTATTGGGTGCATATATATTTAGGATCATTAGCTCTTCTTGTTACATTGATCCTTTTACCATTGTGTAACGTCCTTTGTCTCTTTTGATCTTTGTTGCTTTAAAGTCTATTTTATCAGAGATGAGAATTGCAACTCCTGCTTTTTTTGCTCTCCATTTGCTTGGTAAATCTTCCTCCATTCCTTTATTTTGAGCCTTTGTGTATCCTTGCATGTGAAATGGGTTTCCTGGATACAGCACACTGATGGGTTTTGGCTTTTTATCCAATTTGCCAGTCTGTGTCTTTTGATTGGGGCTTTTAGTCCATTTACATTTAGGGTTAATATTGTTATGTGTGAATTTGATCCTGCCATTTTGATGCTAGCTGGCTGTTTTGCCCATTAGTTGATGCAGATTCTTGATTGTGTTGATGCTCTTTACCATTTGCTATGTTTTTGGAGTGGCTGATACTAGTTGTTCCTTTATATGTGTAGAGCCTCTTTCAGGAGCTCTTGTAAAGCAGGCCTGGTGGTGATGAAATCTCTGAATACTTGCTTGTTCACAAAGGATTTTATTTTTCCTTCACTTATGAAGCTTAGTTTGGCTGGATATGTGATTCTGGGTTGAAAGTTCTTTTCTTTAAGGATGTTGAATATTGGCCCCCACTCTCTTCTGGCTTATAGGGTTTCTGCTGAGAGATCTGCTGTGAGTCTGATGGGCTTCCCTTTGTGGGTAACCCGACCTTTCTCTCTGGCTGCCCTTAGCATTTTCTCCTTCATTTCAACCCTGGTGAATTTGATGATTATGTGCCTTGGGGTTGCTCTTCTTGAGAAATATCTTTGTGGTGTTCCCTGTGTTTCTTGGACTTGAATATTGGCCTGCCTTGCTAGGTTGGGGAAGTTTTCCTGGATAATATCCTGAAGAGTATTTTCCAGCTTGGATTCATTCTCTTCAGCACATTCAGGTACACCTATCAAACATAGATTAGGTCTTTTCACATAGTCCCACATTTCTTGGAGATTTTGTTCATTCCTTTTTACCCTTTTTTCTCTATTCTTGCCTTCTCGTTTTATTTCATTGAGTTGATCTTCAACCTCTGATATCCTTTCTTCTGCTTGGTCTATTCAGCTGTTGAAACTTGTGCATGCTTTGTGTAGTTCTCGTGTTGTGTTTTTCAGCTCCATCAATTCACTTATATTCCTCTCTATGTTGTCCATTCTCGTTAGCATTTCGTCAGATCTTTTTTCAAGGTTCTTAGTTTCTTTGCATTGGGTTAGAACATGTTCTTTTAGCTCACAGAAGTTTCTTATTACCCACCTTCTGAAGTCTGATTTTGTCATTTCATCACACTCCTTCTCCATCCAGCCTTGTTCCCTTGCTGGTGAGGAGTTGTGATCTCTTGTAGGAGGAGAGGTGTTCTGGTTTCGGGTGTTTTCATCCTTTTTGTGCTGGTTTCTTCCCATCTTTGTGGATTTATCCACCTGTTGTCTTTGTAGTTGCTGACTTTCAGATTGGGTCTCTGGGTGAACTTCCAGTTTGTGGATGATGAAGTTATTTGTTTCTTAGTTTTCCTTCTAATAATCTGGCCCCTCTGCTGTAGGACTGCTGACGTCCACTCCAGGCCCTGCTTGCCTGGGGATCACTTGCAGCAGCTGCAGAACAGTAAGGGTTGCTACCAGTTTCTTCTTCTGCTATCTTTGTCCCAGAAGGATACCCGCCAAATGTCAGTGTGTTCTCTCCTTTATGAGGTGATTCTTTGGACATAGGGGGTCAGGGAGCTGCTTGAGGAGACAGTCTGTCCTTTATTGGAGCTCAAATGCTGAGCTGTGAGCTCCGTTGTTCATTCAGAGTTGCTGGGCAGGTATGTTTAGGTCTGCTGCAGCAGAACTCATAAACTCCTTTTTCTTTTTTCCCAGGTGCTCTGTCCCCGGAGTTTAGGGCTTTATTTATGAGTTTCCATTGTGCTGCTGCCTTTTTTTTTTTTTTTTCAGGACTGCCGTGCACAGTGAGGAGGCACCCTAGTCACTGTCTGCCTGCAGAGGCTTTGCTATAGTTGTATACTGTACATGTGGGCCAGGCACGGAAACTCCTGCCTGTAATTTCAACACTTTGGGATGCCAAGGCAGGCATGTCCCCAGAGGTCAGGAGTTTGAAACAAGCCTGGCCAACATGGCAAAACCCCTTCTCTACTAAAACTGCAGAAGTTAACTGAGGGTAATGGCCCATGCCTGTAATCCCAGCCACACAGGATGTTGAGGCATAAGGATGCCTTCAACTCTGGAGGTGGAGGTTGCAGTGAGGCAAGACTGCGCCACTGCACTCCAGTCTGGGTGACAGAGCAATATTTCGTCTCAGAAAAAAAAGACTGTACGTATGAAGAGCTCTCTGTGTTTAAGATCTGAAAGACTTAGTCTAAATACAGTTTTCTATGTCTTCATCTTTCTTCTTAGGGATAAACCCAAAGAATGATGTTAAAACTCGCTGTATTTTACCTTTCCCTGTCTCATTATAGGTTGTCATCACCCTCTACGGATCAGAAGGACGGAGTGAGCCCCATCACCTTTGTGACCCCCAGAAGACAGTCTTTGAACGAGGGGGCCTGGATGTCTTCCTTCTCACCACTCATTCCTCTCTAGGGGAACTGCACAGCCTTCGGCTCTGGCATGACAATTCTGGCCTCAGTCCTTCCTGGTGAGCACATGTATCATGTTGACTGTTGCTGTTTCTTTGTCCATCTAAAAGAGAAGAAAGCTTATCACCACAATAAATAACAGTAAATCTTTGAGCCAAATAGTAACAAATGACTGTTAGATTTATGTTCTCAAGCTGTCTACAAAGAATAAGCCCTGGAATGAAGCATGAGAAATTAACGATACAATTTCTTTGGAAGGTAGAATAATAGATGCTTTGTTTTCTCTAATTTTATTTGTTAAATGCCATGATTGTATGCAGCAAATAACACCAACGAAATATTGCCTGAAAGCGCCACAAATTAAAACCATTTCTAAATATGAAACACATCCTTAAAGACTAACTTTAGTCAACAGCTATCTACTGATAGGCAAACTTAAGAGCTTAAGGGCAGGGTGCAGCAATTCACACCTGTAATCCAATACTTTGGGAGGCTGAGGGAGGAAGATCACTTGAGGCCAGGAGTTTGAGAACAGCCTGAGCAACATAGGAAGACCCTGCCTCTACCGAAAAAAAAAAAAAAAAAAAAAAAAAAAAATCAAAAAAATTCACCAGGCATGGTGGTATGCACCTATAGTCTCAGCTACTCAGGAGCCTGAAGTGGGAGGATCACTTGAGCCTAGGTGCATGTGAGCCAGTGGTGCATGTCTGCACCACTGCACACCAGCCTGGACAACAGCAAGACCCTGTCTTGGGGTGGGGGAAAAATGTCAAGATCTTAAAGAGAAAGAATAGAATTACCATGTGAGATGTGCCTGGGGAATTAGAGAAGTAAACAGATGACGATAAAGTCCTTGAACCTAACATGTGTTAGGTTTGAATGATTCAGCATCTTCCTTCAGCAGCACTCAGAATGAGGAGAGGTGTTAGAGAAAGTAGATGATACAGTTATTTAAGAATGAAGAGCCGGGCACGGTGGCTCAAGCCTGTAATCCTAGCACTTTGGGAGACCGAGGCGGGCGGATCACAAGGTCAAGAGATCGAGACCATCCTGGTCAACATGGTGAAACCCCGTCTCTACTAAAAATGCAAAAAAATTAGCTGGGCATGGTGGCGCGTGCCTGTAATCCCAGCTACTCAGGAGGCTGAGGCAGGAGAATTGCCTGAACCCAGGAGGCGGAGGTTGCGGTGAGCCGAGATCGCGCCATTGCACTCCAGCCTGGGTAACAAGAGCGAAATTCCGTCTCAAAAAAAAAAAAGAATGAAGATTACTGATTCCTTGGAGTTGGGGGAAAAAAAGAAAAATGGAGTGGAAGTCTTAAGGCTCAGGTCTTCAAAAGAATCTGTTGCTAAATGTTGCCCACCTGTAAAGAGCATACAGTCTGCTTACATTTATTAGCGAAATAAGTTTTTTTCCACTAGGCCAGTTAGACCAGCCACTGGGCCAGTAGAACCTAATAACTTCCTTGCTGCTTCCATTCTGTTCCAGTACGCACAAATCAGCTAGTAAACCATCCTTCCAGTTTTATTTGTAAAGGCGAATAATGTGTAGCAAGCACTTGAAAAGATGTGCAACATGGTTAGTCATCAGGAAATGAAAATGACAGAGCACAAGCCACCCATCAGAATGGCTTAAATTTAAAATGCTCACAAAAGGCCAGGTGCGGTGGCTCACATTTGTAATCCCAACAGTTTGGGAGGCCGAGGTGGGCAGATCACTTGAGGTCAGGAGTTCAAGACCAGGCTGATCAACATAGTGAAACACTGTCTCTACTAAAAATACAAAGATTAGCCTAGTGTGGTTGCACGGGCCTGTAATCCCAGCTACTTGGGAGGAAGAGGCATGAGAATTGCTTGAACCCAGGAGCCTGGAGGTAGCAGTGAGCAGAGACCATGCCAGTGCACTCCAGCCTGGGGAACAGGGTGAGACTCCATCTCAAAAAAAAAAAAAGGTATGCAGGCCAGGCACAGTGGCACATGCCTGTAATTCCAGCGCTTTGGGAGACTGAGGAGGACAGATTACCTGAGCCCAGGAGTTCAAGACCAGCCTGGGCAACATGGCGAAATCCCATTTCTGGAAAAAATACAAAAAAATATATATAGCCAGGCATGGTGTCACATGCCTGCAGGCCAAGATACCTGGGAGGCTGAGGTGGGAGGATCGCTGAGCCCAGTGGTGGAGGCTGCAGTGCAACACGATCACACTGCTGCTCTCCAGCCTGGGCAACAGTCTGAGACTCTGTCTTGAAAAAATAAAATAAGCCAGGTGCAGTGGCCTATGCCTGTAATCCCAGCACTTTGGGAGGCTGAGGAGGGTGGATCACAAGGTCAGGAGATCAAGACTACCCTGGCCAACATGGTGAAACCCCATCTCTACTAAAAATATAAAAATTAGCTGGGCATGGGGCCCACACCTGCAGTCCCAGCTACTCAGGAGGCTGAGGCAGGAGAATTGCTTGAACCCAGGAGACGGAGGTTGCATTCAGCCAGTATTGTACCACTGTACTCCAGCCTGGCAACAGAGCAAGACTCTGTCTCAGAAAAAATAAAAAAGTAAAAAATAAAGTATGTGTATAGGAGAAGGTCTAGAGTATATATAATAAATTATTATAGTTATCTCCAGGTAGTAGGATTATAAATTTTTAAAATTTTCTTCAGTGTACTTTTAGGTATATTGAAAAATTTTAATGATAGATGTTATTTCATAATCATAGCAAAATAATTTTGAAATTTAACTCTTTTAGAGAAAGCACCCCAAGAAATTTATACTGATGTAATATTTTCTACTTTTCTTGCAATTTCTTACCACTGTTTTATATCAATCCTAATTCTATATGTAGTATTTAACTATAATACTATTATTTTTTAGCTCACAGTGATTTCATGCCCCTCAAGGATAAAGATAATGTCTTATTAGTATTCTATTCTCAGCTAGTACAATGCCAGGATTATAGAGGGACTGAATAAACACTTGTTAGAATTAATAATTACAATTAATATTGTAACAATAAATATTTGTTACAGTTAAATTGTCAGGATTATGTGTCTCCTCTAGAGCTTCCTGTCAGGTATCATGGCTCTTTTTGTTTTGTTTTGTTTGAGACGGAGTCTTGTACTGTCACTCAGGCTGGGGTGCAGTGGTGCAATCTCAGCTCACTGCAACCTCTACCTCCCAAGTTGAAGCAATTCTCATGCCTCAGCCTCCCCAGTACCTGAGACTACAAGTGTGTGCCACCACACCCAGCTATTCGTTGTGTTTTAGTAGAGGTGAGGTTTTACCATGTTGGCCAGGCTGGTCTCAAACTCCTGTCCTCAAGCAACCCACCCACCTCAGTCTCCTGGAGTGCTGGGATTACAGGCATGAGTCATTGTGCCCAGCCCTTAAAGCTCTTTCGAAGGCATTCTCTAGGGTCCATTTGATTTTCTTTTCTTGTTTTTGTTTATTTTTTGAGGAAGGGTCTTCCCCTGTTGTCTAGACTGCAGTGAAGTGACATGATCATGGCTCGCTGCAGCTTCAACCTCCTGGGTTCAAATGATCCTCCCACATCAGCTCCCCAGTGAGCTGGGACTGCAGATGCCTGCCACGACACCTGGCTAATTTTTTTTTATATAGAGATGGAGTCTCTCTGTGTTTTCCAGGCCAGTCTCAAATTCATGGGCTCTAGCAATCCTATTTCTGCCTCCCAAAGTGCTGGGATTGCAGGTGTGAACCATTGCACCTGGCCTGTTTTTATTTTTTAGTGGCAAAAGTAACATCTGTGCTTTAATGCAGACAACTTGGAAAGCACAGAAAAGGGAAAGACTTTTTGTTTTTTTTTTTTTTTTAAGCAAAAGACAGCTTTTTTCCATAATCTTTCTGGTAATCATAGTGACTTTCCTAACACTCACATTAGACTCTCTACTTTTTCTTACATTTTAAAGAATATAAGAGTAAAAGTTAAAATTGATGCATAAAAAGCCTGGGACTAGAAAACGAATATTTTCTTCTGTATTGTGTTTTATTCTACTTTTATTATACTTAGCTTTTTTTTTTTTTTTTTTTTTCTTGTTTTCTGAGACAAGGTCTGGCTGCGTCACCCAGGATGGAGTGCAGTGGCACGATCACAGCTCACTGCAACCTCTGTCTCCCGGACTCAAGTGATCCTCCCACCTCAGCCTCCTAAGTAGCTGGGCCCATAGGTATGCACCACCATGCCTGGCTGATTTTTTTATTTTATAGAAATGAGGTTTTACCACATTGTCCAGGCTAGTCTCAAATTCCTTAGCACGAGCAATCCACTCATCTTGGCCCCCAAAATGCTGGGATTGCAGGCACAGGTCACCAACTCTGGCCCATACTTTGCTTTTAAACGACAGCTTTAAATATATGAAATGCACTGTCTAGTTGAATCGAATGCAGCTTAGTCACCTGTTGTTTCATAAACTGCTTCAATGAGACAGTCCCCAGAAATACCTTAGGTTTAAAGGAGTCTGTATTCCCAACACAGAAAATAACATTCAACTAAAATGAAGATTTTCACGAGAGCAATTTAAGCAGTTTCATGCCATTAAACACAGACCCTTGGAGAAAATAGCATCATTACAGTGAAGCAGGAGGTTTGCTGACTAGCTGTGAGATGAAGTCAGTAGGTTGAACAGTCAAGTGTCCGAGAGGACAAGTGTATGAGTGGGTGAAGTTAGCAGACAGGTTAGTGATAAAACACTGTGGCTGGGAAAGGGATGAAATCTCAGGGCCTTTGCCTAAGTGAAGTGGAAATGAGGCCAGACTAACTAGAGTGAGAAGTCATTGATGTAAACGTTAAAGACTGTGCCCCATTTGTACCCCAGATGATTAAAGAGAGGCAGATAGGAAATTTGAAAAGGTGGCAAGCCAGTGTCACATACAGGACAGAGAAAGGTTATAAAAAGTATACATACACTGGGCACAGTGGCTCTCACCTATCATCCCAGCACTTTGGAAGGCCAAGGCGGGTGGATAACGAGGTCAAGAGATCAAGATCCTCCTGGCTAACATGGTGAAACCCCATGTCTACCAAAATAAAAAATTAGCCGGGTGTAGTGACATGTGCCTGTACTGTAGGCAGGAGAATCGCTTGAACCCAGGAGGCAGAGGTTGCAGTGAGCCCAGATTGTACCACTACACTCCAGCCTGGGACACAGGGTGAGACTCTCTCAAAAAAAAAAAAAAAAAAAAAAAGTATATAGGTGAGAAATGTTTGAAGTCTGGTGTCTGATACATGAACTTCCTTAGAAGTTGGGAAGGAAAAGATAATATCTACTCTCATTTCTTTCTTTCTTTTTTTTTTTTTTTTTGAGTGAGGGTCTCACTGTCACTCAAGCTGGAATGCAGTGTTCCAATCTCAGCTCAATGCAGCCTTGACCTCCTGAGCTCAAATAATCCTTCCACCTTAGCCTCCCAAGTAGCTTAGGACTACGGGTGAACACTACCATGCCCAGCTAATTTTTGTATTTTTTTAGAGACGGGATTTTGCAATGTTGCCCAAGCTGGGCTCACACTGCTGAGCTCAAGCAATTCACCTGCCTCAGCTTCCCAAGGTACTGGGGTTATAGACGCACACCACGTCTGGCTTCTACTCTCCTTTCTTTCCTTAGTTCTTGCTTTGCAATGAAACAGTTCATTTACTTGGATAGTTACTAACGGTGCGATATTACACTACAAACAACTGATTCGAGCCCACCTCCCTAACATGACTGTCTTCATTTACTATAGGTATGTCACCCAGGTAATTGTCTGTGACATGGCAGTTAAGAGGAAATGGCATTTCCTGTGCAATTGCTGGCTGGCTGTGGACCTCGGAGACTGTGAGCTTGATCGGGTCTTCATACCAGTTTCACAGAGAGAGCTCTCTTCCTTTAGGTACTGTTGGAAAGTTACTATTAACAGTGAATGTTGATGTTCACTATTAATTGAATTGTTCACTATTAATTGAAATGTTCACTATTAATTGAAATGTTTTTAATACAAATTATTAATATATTATTTCAAACATACATTAGCATTTCTATTGTGTTTGTAAATGGTGCAACCATTATCTTAAAAATCAGAAGCATGACAAGTATAAAACTTAAAAATGTTGCCACTATTTTCTGAAACTGCTTACCTAGAGAATCATTTGTAAATAATTTACTAAGATATCTAGGAATAAAACCATCGCCCAATGGAATGTAAAAACGATACCACTACTTCCATGATGCAAATACGAGGACAAAACGTAAACATAGGGAAAGTGAGAGAGCTGCAGTCTTCAACTGATTTTCAGAGATACCAGTAAACTGGCCAGGCACTATGGCTCACACCTGCAATCCCAGCACGTTGGGAGACCGAGGCAGGTGATTCACTTGAGGTCAGGAGTTCAAGACTAGCCTACCCAACATGGCAAGATCCTGTGTCTACTAAAAATTTAAAAAATTAGCCAGGCGGGGCTGGGCATGGCGGCTCAAGCCTGTAATCCCAGCACTTTGGGAGGCCGGGGTGGGTGGATCATGAGGTCAAGAGATCGAGACCATCCTGGTCAACATGGTGAAACCCCATCTCTACTAAAAATACAAAAAAATTAGCTGGGCATGGTGGCACGTGCCTGTAATCCCAGCTACTCAGGAGGCTGAGGCAGGAGAATTGCCTGAACCCAGGAGGCGGAGGTTGCGGTGAGCCGAGATCGCGCCATTGCACTCCAGCCTGGGTAACAAGAGTGAAACTCCGTCTCAAAAAAAAAGAAAATATTAGCCAGGGATGGAGGTGCACGCCTGTAATCCCAGCTACTCGGGAGACTGAGGCATGAGAATCACTTGAATCTGGGAGGCAGAAGTTGCAGTGAGGCAAGATTGTGCCACTGCACTCCAGCCTGGGAAACAGAGCAAAACCCCGTCTCAAAAAATACAAAGATGCTAGTAAACCAAAATAATTAAAGCAATGTGATATACTGGTAAATTCACAGACAGACCAGGAGAACAGTATAATGTGTGTATCTACTTCTGTATCTTTCTAGGTATCCATGTATCTTTCTGTGTCTCCTGAATGCTAAAGATGAGAATATGCCTAGGAGAATATACCTCTGCTACCTGATACACTTCTTCCCTTCAGTTTTCTGGTTCAATATTAGGGCTGTTGGCTTTTTCCTTATGAGAACAAGATAATTGCAAGAGGCCCAAACACCGTGTCCTGGCCAGGCATGGTGGCTCACACCTGTAATCCCAGCATTTTGGGAGGCTGAGGCAGGCGAATCACTTGAGGCCAGGAGTTTGAGACCAGCCTGGCCAACATAGCAAAACCCCATCTCCACCAAAAGTACAAAAATTAGCCAGACATGGTGGTGTGCACCTGTACTGCTTGGGAGGCTGAGTCAGAAGGAAGGCTTGAACTGGGGAAGTGGAAGTCGCAGTGAGCCAAGATCGAGCCATTGTGCTCCAGCCTCAGCAATAAGAGAGAGACCCTGTCTCAAAAAAAAAAAAAAAAAAAAAAAAAAAAAAAAAAAAAGGCAACCAAACACCGTGTCCTTACATTAAAATGCCTAAAGGCGAAAACATGAAGCTGTTTGTTCTGGGATTTGGCTCCCATCACACAGATGGGGATCTGCATGATTGAGTAGTGAGGATGTCCAGAACAGCAAGAAATGTGTGTTTCTTTATCAAGATCTGCTCCAATCACAATTGCTGTGTAACAAATTACTCCCCAAACTGAGTGGATTGAAACAACCATTTTACTTTTCTCCTGGTTTTGTGGGTCAGAAATTGGGTGAAGCCATGGCGGGGCTTTTTCATCCGGACTGGGTCTACTCATCTGCAGGCTTCTCTGCTAGATTTCCAAAAATGATTTGCTCACAAGGCCAGCAGGTGGCGCTGGCTGTCCGCAAAGCACCTATGCATGGCACCTGCAGCAACCTGTCATTTTTCACAGGGTGGCTGTCTCTTTCCAGAATGGGCAGTTCAACAGAATTAAGTGGGGGCTTTGGCCTTTTACATACTAACTTTGGAAATAAGATTTAAGGAGAAGGGCCATGTACGGTGCCTCATACCTATAAGCCCAGCACTTTGGGAGGTTGAGATGGGTGGATCACCTGAGGTCAGGAGTTAGAGACCACCCTGGCCAACATGGTGAAACCCCCTCTCTATTAAAATGACACAAATTAGCCTGGTGCTATGGTGTTCTCCTGTAGTCCCAGCTACTGGGGAGGCTGAGGCAGGAAAATCACTTGAACCCGGGAGGTGGAGGCTGCAGTGAGCTGAGATCGTGTCACTGTACTCCAGCCTGTGCAAAGGAGCAAAGACTTGAAAAAAGACTTTGAAACTAAAAAACATGGATGTTCATCAAGCAGGAAGTAGGAAAAAAATACAGAACAAGACCCTATCTCCAAAACAAAAGCAAACAAAAAAATACATATTTTAAATTGGGTGTTGCTCGTGTCTGGGAATAAACTGGTAGAAGTTTTCTCTCATTTTTGAAAACTTAGGTCGTGAATACAGTTTGTTTCTCTTCCATATGCCTGTTACAGTTCTAGGTTTGTTTTGTTTCAGTTTCTGAGATAGGATCTCACTGTGTTGCCCAAGCTGATCTTAAACCTCTGGGCTCAAGCAGTCCTCCCAGCTCAGCTTCTTGCATAGCTGGGATTACAGGCATACACCTTTGCATCCAACTAGTTCTAGTATTTTTAAAACATATATAGGTATGTTTATTAATTCAAATATATTCATTTTTGTTGTTGAAATGTGATTTTTTTTATCCTTTAATTTCTGTGTTTCCAGTAGAGGTATGACACCATCACTCTGGGCTTTTTTCTTATTGTTGAAGTAGCTCTTTTAATAGTTCTAATGAGAGGTGTGCGCGTCCATCTTTACTCTCGACTCTTGTTTAGCTATTTAGTTTAGCTGTTTAGCCGGATAGAAATGTTTTGCTATCCTTCCCTTAACACTTCTTTAAAAAAAAAAAAAGAAGAAGAAGAAAAAAAGAATAATAAAATAAAAAAACTTTAAAAAAAGGAGAGGAAGAAAGAGGAAGAGGGAGAGAGAACAGGGGTGTTGCTTTATTGCCCGGGCTGGAATGCAGCCTAAAAATGGGTCTGCCTATAATTGTGCTTAATAATAGAGACATGAAAAAAAACGAGGGAAGAAAAAAACAAGCAGCCAACCAATATTTCATTTAAACCTGTAAGTAGGTGTGATGTGGTGCTGATAAGAGTGTATATTTTGTGTATTTAAAATGGAGAGTTCTATAAATGTTTATTAAGTTTACTTGTTCCAGATCTGAGTTCACATCCTGGATATCGTTGTTAATTTTCTGTCTCATTGATCTGTCTAATATTGATGTTGAAATCTCCCACTATTATTGTGTGGGAGTCTAAGTCTCTTTATAAGTCTTACATATCTGGGTGTTCCTGTATTGGGTGCGTATATATTTAGGATCTTTAGCTCTTCTTGTTGTATTGATGCTTTTGTCATTATGTAATATCCTTCTTTGCTTCTTTTGATCTTTGTTGCTTTAAAGTCTGTTTTTATCAGAGGCAAAAATTGCAACTCCTGCTTCTTATTTATTTATTTTTGCTCTCCATTTGGTTGGCAAATCTTTCTCCATCCCTTTGTTTTGAGTCTTTGTGTATCCTTGGATTTGAGATGGGTCTGGATGAAGCATACCGATGGATTTTGGCTTTTTATCCTATTTACCTGTCTGTGTCTTTGGATTGGGGGATTTAGTCGATTTAAATTTAGAATTAATAATAATATATGTGAGTTTAATACTACCATTTAATGTTAGCTGGCTGTTTTGCCCATTAGTTGAAGTAAATTCTTGATTATGTTGATGTTCTTTACTTTTTGGTATTTTTTAGAAAGGCTGATACTGTTTGTTCCTTTCTATGTGTAGTGGTTCTTTCAGAAGCTCTTGTAAAGTAGGCCTGGTGGTGATGAAATCTGAGTGCTTGCTTGTTCACAAAAGATTTTATTTTTCCTTCATTTATGAAGCTTAGTTTGGCTGGATGTTAAATTCTGGGTTGAAAGTTCTTTTCTTTAAGGATCTTGAATATTGGCCCCCACCCTTCCCTTAACACGTTGTCTTAATACATTGTCTTCTTGTCAAGCAGTTCCTAAGCAGAAACGCTGTGACAGCTAGTTGGCTGGCTAGCAACACTTCCATTTGGCTTGTAAGATGACAATGAGCACAGGTGAATTTATCTTCTTAATAGATTGACCCCTTAATAAAATATCCTTTGTCTCTAGGAATAATTCTTGTCTGCAGGTATATTTTATCTTAGTATAGCCACTCCAGTTCTCTTTTGATTGCTGTTTGCACGGAATATCTTTTTCCATCCTTTTAGTGCGGTGGTGTAGTCTTGGCTCACTGCCACCTCCTGGGTTCAAGCAATTCTCATGCCTTAACCTCCCAACTAGCTAAGACCATAGGCATATGCCATCATGCCTGGCTAGATTTTGTATTTTTAGTAGACATGGGGTTTCACCAAGTTGGCCAGGCTGGCCTCGAACTCTTGACCTCAAATGATCGTCCCACCTCAGCCTCCCAAAGTCCTGAGATAATAGGTGGGAGCCTTCACTACCGGCCCATCCTTTTAATTTCAATTCATTTGTGCTTCGTATCTAAATTACGTCTGTTGTAGACATAATACAGTTGGATTAGGGTTTTTTTGGTTGATTCTACCAATCGCTATCTTTTAATTTGTGAGTTTAACCTATTTACATTTGATATAATTACTAATAACATGAGGTTTATATCTGTCATTTTACTATTTGTTTTCTATATGTATTTTCTATTCTATCGTTTTTTTTTTCCTATATTTTTTATCACTACCTTTTTTAGCTTCATCACAAATGGGGTTCAACGGTTACCCACAGCTACTGGCATAGAATCTACAA